ACTATATAATACGCCTCGTTCCCAAGATCTATTCTATCTATCGATCGGGAGAACGGACCGGTACTCTAACTGGGTCCATTAACGCCAGCTAATTAATGTATCTGATTAAGCAAGGCATCGACGCACATGTATCATCTCAAGTCCCGACCACGCGCGCGATCCATATATAATAATACCTCTGATATATCCGGATATATAGAGTCCGCGTATTGCCCATGTCTCTCCAGCATAAGCTATGCTAGGTCCTATATATATAATATACATATATATATATATATATGTATGTATATCGCACATCGTCGCCACGACGCGGGCATAAATCTTCGTTATTTGACGTAATGGCTACTCGCGCGCGGGTTGCGCACGCACGTCGTGGATTATTATTATTATTATTATAAATTTCCATGACGTTTCTTACGAATTTCAGCCCAGCCCCGGGGCGCGATGTACTACACCGTGATCGACGAAGATTCACGCGAATACCGCAAACATAGAATAATACGTCCTCGGCACTCTATCGGCCTGTATAGGATGTCCCGGAACTAATGTACCGTTAAATCTCCCAAGGAATCTGTCACCGGCAGGATATCCGATAATTCTTGGCTTGACGTCCTCTCCCTTCCTCCTTTGCGTGTGTTCTACGGAACGTACTCGCTGTTAGATATTTGGAAAGACTTCAACGGGTTATCGAACGTAAGTTTGCTTTTCGTAAAATCCCGAGGAAAGATGAGAAATTCGTTAGGTATAGCATATAAACGCTCGCTTTATAGCGAAACCCTTTGTCCATAGAGTAGATAATGTAGTTGGATGCAGTGATGAATGCGGAGAACAATGTTCTTGCTTTGAAAAAAAATAGAGACCTCTACATTTTATATATATATATATATATATATATTCCTACATTTCCTCTCTATTCATTTCAGGATTACTGTTATTGCGCGAAAAAAGGAAATAAAATGTAGAAAGTTGGAAACTCTCGTGAAAAACGAAAGATTCTAAAGTTTGATTGAGAAATAATTGATCAAAATTATAAGAACTCTAATCTAAAATTTCATTGGCTCTTTCAAGTTTTTAAACTTGAAAATGTCAATAAAATACTTTACTGGATTTTTTATTTTACGAAAAGAGATTGGAGAAGAGATAAAATTGTATTTTATGCAAATAGCTAGAGTTATTATAAAAAGAGAAAGAGAAAATATCATATTAAAAAAGATGTATATATATATATATTTCTCGCAGAAATATATATATAATTATAAATAAATTAATACAATTCTATAAACTGAAAAAAATAACTAAATTAATACATATTTAGTTCAATACTGCCAAATGAGTCGTTAATTTGAAACAAATATTTGTTTCGAAAAGGATTTTCTTATATCAAAAAAAAATATTATTAGTTTCGAATAAATGATTTATTTGGCAGTATTGAAATAAATACTTATCCCCGAATTAAATAATTTTTTTTTTTTCAGTGTATCAATAAGTCTTAAAAAATATATGTAATTTAAAATTCCAGTTTTCCAATCTGCCCACGTGTGTATAACACTAAAACATATATCCTGAAATATTTAAGATATTTGATACCGGCGAGAGATCGATTCGCTCTCGCGTAGATAATCGAGATAAACTCGTTCGTATCTCCAAATAGAACAAAAAGCAAAACCCAGTCTCCCTTCCTTCGTTTCTACGTGTATACGTCCATGCGACAGATCGACGTGCATTTTTCACGATGCAGCCGATATTGCGGACCCGTGAAATGAATTATGCATACATGGCGCAGATATCATTTCGATAGCCAGCATGGACGTTCAGCGTGAGCGATCTGTCACTGATGCTTAATGACCGGCATTAATTGGTTATTGTCAGTGGCCCGGGCCATCGATCCTGTATCCCGCGATATCGCGACGCATTCATCCCCCGTCGCTCGACCATTTGCTTTTATTCGGGGGAAGATACTTAGATAAAGGAGAGATCATTCGGATTAAAAGTCTCCGCTTCGGGAAAGTTCAATCCAATTTTTACAAATGGAAAAAATATGCCCTTGCTTTACGCGCGTGCCAAATTTAACCATCATCCCCGATGATAAAATCTGCATTTTGCCGTCGTAATGTTATGCAAGTCCATTTCACCGATTTCGCATATATCGCGAAATTTTTTCTCCGGTGTCGTCCCCGTTTTCGAGAATTTCAATTTTTTTCAATACACTTTTATTAATTTATTAAACAAATTAATTTATTAATTAAAATTGTTTTCAAAGAATAAAATAAAAAAATATGATATATTTGTAAAAGAAATTGTGAAGACAAGAGGAAAAAAAAAATAATTGTAGATATTATATATATATTATACGTATATGATTTTGTGGCAAAAATAAGACGCTTTCAATCACACAAGATCGCAAAAAAAACTGCGGAGTTTTAGCGTGAATTTTATGATATCCCTAAGACATTTTTCGACTATCGTCATAAGAGAGGACAAAGGTTTCGTCGACAAAGTATAACACTGCGCGGCGAACGGTTGGCTTGGCAAGACGCGGAACATTCCAAGCATCGCCAAGATCGGACTTCTTTCGACAACTGCGCAAAGTACAAAGGGGGATGCAATACGCGCGGACACCGGATACCGTCCGGAATTTTATGACTGATCTAATCAATGAAGGGTCCCAGTCTCGCTCGATATGTGCGCCGGATATATCCTCGCATGCTCTACGGCCCTCTACTTCCCAAGTATTATTGAATTTCCCCAGACGAGAGGCGGACTGGACTTCCGCCCTGAGTCGAGGTCGCAGGGGATCCTCTTTGTCAGCTTACACCGAATATCTTCTTTCGTCCGTAGAAGTGAATGTCAATTGCAGAAACTACCGGAGATAACGATCGATCGCGCGTGCCTTCGGATGTAAAATGCGTCGAGACGCACCATTACGCGCCTCATGGCGCGCAAAGTAGTTGTTTTAATTTTTAAATCATATTTCATAAAGCATCTTCGCGTCTCGCGAACCCAGAGCGGCTTATCTTTCTCGTTCAAAAATAAATCGACGAGAAATATATTTAAGTGTGTGTACACGTATATAAATAATATTTTAGCACTAAACGCATTTATTTCATTGATTGTAACTGTCATCTTATTCCATCTCTCAGAAAACTCGCTTACGTTTGAACAATATTTTATATAACACGTTTTTTCCGAAGATGTGCAATCAATCATTTGTCAAGCGGCTCCAGAAAAAAAAGGTATAGCAATATCTTTCAAAGAAGATTATGTCACAAAATGTCTCAGGCTTTTCTATCTTTTTTTCTTTCTTATATATATAATATAATCTAGATCAATCTCTCTTTTCTCTCTATATAATACATAATATCTTAAATAAAGTTTTTATTTTGGTGAGAAAGATGTAAAATTTGTCATCGTCATTTTATTATATATTATGATATGTGCGGCAGAATTTTTCAACACTTACGGAAATGTCTTAAACTTACTTATACACGGTTCCTTCATTTACGCGAATCGCGCCGCGAAGTAACTTGAAAATGCGCCTCTCTCTCTATATTTTTTACTCTCCCCGGCGTTAAAAAGACGTATGCAGTCGGAAACTTGTTTCCTTACCGAGTAACGACGTACTTTCAGTTGCCGTGAATAAAACGGAATCAGCGGAGAATATAATGGAGGGAAAACGTTACTCGAGAGAAAGCGTACGCGAATCTCCCTCCTCTTTCGCATCTACGTCTGAACAATGAAGACATGCTCTACTAATAGTGCACTGTTGCAATATGTAGATTACAGAATATATACATGTATATTGTGTATTATGTATATTACACGACGATATCAGATACCATGTCGACTGAGGTTGACATGAACTCAGGGACGGGGGAGAATAGTTGCACGGACATGAATTCCATCGTTAATGCTTAATTATAGGTAGTGCTTAATAATTGCGTTAGCCTTCGACGGATATCAAATTCTATATGTGGAACGTTGAAAATCGACCGATCAAAAGATCCGATTGCATTATTAAAAGCATCGATATAAAGAATATTCATCATGAGGGTGTATCAGTTGTGTGTATGTAACTCTCTTGTTTAATCTTAGAAATTATTGGTTATTTAAGCGTGATTAATTCTCCAATTATAGTACAGAATGTCCCAGGATCATCTGCTTAATGACAGATTTCTGAAAATCATTTGAAGATAATTTTTCTTTAGGGAAAATATCAATAGATGTCATCAAAGCATTTTTCGCAAGTTTTCAATTTTTGTCATTATAATATATCTTTGTGTAAGTAAGCTTTAAATTTAAAAAAATCTGTCTTAAAGTAAACTCTCCTGAAATTAACTGAACAATGTAGTTTTGCTAATCTTTTTAACTTTATAAAGTTTAATTTGCCCTTCTTCTTGAATCGCTTTTAACTCAAAAATTATTGATGCCTCGACATGTTCGCCGAGGAAGAATCGTCTTCAAATGAATATCAAGAATCTGCCATTAAATGATGCGATAACTATGAAATACCCTCTGTATATCGAATTCTGTTTTGAAATTAAACGCTTGATTCTATTCCGTATTCCCATTCTGTAATTTACTAAGCCCCTTTAATCTCCAATGTCAAATAACTCTATTGATATTCATATCCCAACATGAAACTCTAAACGCTATTATTGTTGTTATTATAATCTCTAATGACCACAATTGAATGCTGGGAATATCCGGAAATATATACATATTAGATTCACGCACACTTCCTCTTTGTATATACATACATAATATATACATACGTATATACAATATATATCTTCATTTATCCAATATATTATTAAACTTGAATAATATTGAAACACGTGGCTTGAGTGAAATAGAGTAAATCGAGCGAAGCCAAGTGTGTTTCGATAATGCTTTATCCGCCTTTGATTTGTACACAATCGCGAAAGAGTATCAACTCTCGCGGCCACCTGTATATATATAAATAGATATACTCAACACCCACTTTACATTGCATTTTACAGTCGTGCCGGTATGTCAACAAGGCCAGACGAGGGTGTTCGGCGTGGCGCGACAGGAGACCGCGAGTATTCCCTGCGAGCTGGAGGCGAACCCGCCGGAAGTATCGTTCACTTGGAAATTCAATAATACAATGGAAGCGGTGGACATACCTCAGGCACACGTCACCAGCGACCGTGCACGCTCGATGGCCTCGTACACGCCGATGACCGAGCTGGATTACGGCACTCTCCTCTGTTGGGGCAGCAACGACCAGGGCAGTCAGCTGGAGCCGTGCGTCTTCCACATCGTGCCAGCCGGTAAGTGTCAGCCTCTTGCCGGTGGTCTTTCCTGAAAAAAATTAGAGATGTATATTTTTACCACGTATTTCGAATATAAAAATGTATATATAGATGCAATATCTAGTTTATCTACGCGGATATAAATTATATATTAACGTATTTTATACACCGCGTTATATCGTGTAACGTATTTTGCAAAGCCAATTACGATGTAATTAATAATTTCGTAAACATTTGCTAATGCAAATGTTTAAAGCGTGATTAATTAATAAAATAAATGAAACATATATCTCTCCGAATTTAGTCGCAATCGTGTGCCGCATTTGAATTTTTTACGCGGAAATCACGCAAAAAAAGATATATATATATAATAAATTGCATGCGACGTGAATTACAAAAATTATTGTATGCAACATTCAATATTTTTATATATGATTTCACAGTCGCTGATATTATCGTCGTCGTCGCGAGTGAATAAATAAAAAAAAATAGAATGAATTGGATGAATATTTCGAGGGCATCGCGGCCGCGACACAACTTATTTAAAAGACAGCAATCGATTTCTCGGTAGACGAATGTCGCGCCGTTTCGAGCTCTTGGAAAGTGCATTCAATAGATTCGATTGCATTTATTCTCCCTGTCGTCGAGACACTATCATCCGGCATCCGATGAATGCAACGTCCTGGAATCCGCTACGTTTTTATCAGCATCTCAATAAATGTTAAAGGAGATCTAATGTAACTTTAAGAGAATCAAATCTACTTTTCAAATTTTTGCTCCGTACCTTGCAATTAATTTTGTATTAGGAATCTCAAAAGCCACTGATATAGAGGTAATAATTACTCGATGATAAATGAGGGGGAGAGAGAGAGAGAGAGCTCTAGTAAACATAGATCTGTAAACCAATCGCTTAAGATAACACAGTCACACGTCTGTTATTGTGGCTGCAGGAAAACACTATAGCTATTACAACGCTATTATCGTAAACGACAAAACATATTTTGAGACAAATTGGCTTAATTGAATTGTTTGTTAATTAATTAAGTTTATTTCACTTATCTCTTGATAAATTAGCTTTCTATAATATTTGCATTATTATTGGTTTACTTTAATTAATTCAAATCGAATATTGATCAATCTTGAATACATTGATATGTGTTTAATTTAATTTAATTTTTTTAATTAGTTTAATAGGTAGTAATTACTTTCACGCGAAAATTGGGAAAATACTGTTGCGACTTTTCATACTCGAGCATCGCTGCTTTTTTTACTTTGTACAGATGTTTGATCTTCATGATAATGGTTCGAATTTTTCACCGAATTTTATACCTCGCTAATGCAATTTACATTATTCCAAAGTTCTCATATTACTAGAATTTAACAAACAACCGTCTTCGCATGTCTGGATTCTCGCGAAATATTGGGATAAAAATCGCTGCAATTTTTAACCGTATAGCGACGCGACGGTGGCATAAAAATTTCCGAGCGAAAATGAATTAGGGATACGCGCGCGCATTTTTACGCGGATGATCCGTTTTTCCGTCGTGGAAAGATTGCCGTCCTCGTTCGTTAAAGGACGGCGACAAATCATCGTCGGGCGAACGCGCGTCGATACGCGATAAACGCATTTTAGTACTCCACTTGGCATTAAACTGCCGGACGCGTAATAAAAAAGCGTTATTAAAACGTGAACGTTACGTAAAAATGGAGCATTGTGATTTGAGTATCGCGTAGTCATATACGTACAGAAACCAGAGCTAAGCTCGCTGATGAAAGACGATCAAATCTCGAAGTGCGAGCGAATCGAGGTTGCTCTGTCAGCGGTTTTTTTTTCAGGCAAGCTTCAACGTTCCGCAAAATAATTCTCCCTTTTACGGAGATCTTTTGAAATGATATTTCAAACTCTACACGTGCGTAGCTAAATAAATGTGAGAGTAAAAAAGAAGGATCTATTTTATTGTATAAAAATATTTAAATTATTCAATTTAAATTCTTTCTACAAATAATATGCAAGCAATCTAAAATTACATGGAAAACTCATTTCTCAAATAATCAGATTTAAATTAAATGAATGAAAAAGAAATTTAGCCAATTAATGTAATCGACCAACATTTTCCATCGTCATGCTTATACATATACGGAGAAAATGAATTTCAGTATTCAGTCTCAGGGCAATTTCCGTAATGTCGCAGGATATCCTTTGAATTCGCCAATCAACCGTTCGTTTATGCTCGCTAATTACATCGGTGATCGATACACGTGACTGATCGCGCGCGAATTTGACAGGTCGCCCGGACACGCCGCACAACTGCACCCTGTTGAACCAGACGACCGACTCGATCTACGTGGAATGTATTGAGAGCTTCGACGGCGGGCTGCCTCAAAAATTCACCATAGAGGTGGAGCGCGAGGCCGGTTCGAGCAAGGGCCCGGCGACCGTCTACAATTACACCAGCAAGGTGCCCACCTTCTACGTCGGCAATCTGGACCCCGGCAGCAGCTACGAGGTCTCCGTTTACTCGACCAACGCCAAGGGTCGCAGCGAGACGGTCCGCTTTCGCGCCGCCACTCTGAATCTGCCCGAGAGACGAACAGGTGAGTCTGTCGCGGCCCTCCGAAGAATTACCGAGCCGAGAATCATGATCGATCCGCGACCAAGTCGTCCGCGATATGTAATCTTGTCAGACGATTCATAAGTAAGTTTCGAGCGATGCGATTTCATTTCAGATTTAGAGAGGGAACTTTTTTCGAGAAGGTGCGCGCTTTGCATTTCTCATTTTAAGCCGCAATAATGACAGTAAGTGTACACAATGTCATATTACATTATCCATAATATCATTCATAAATCGATACAATTTTATAATCATTATGTAAAAGATTCGGAGACGCTTACTTTGAATCTGCGGAATACTTAGCTTCATACAAATTTCGTATTCGTTATTCAAAATATTAGCTCGAAACCATACTTCATAACTTATTCTCTCAATATATCTCATAATAAACTCCATAATTTATCGAGTGGCTCTTGGTTCTTCGATCGTGCCAATGACACCGTAACAATATCGCTCGTATACTCTGCCATTGCGGTGGTAAAACGACACAGCGCGTCGTAAATGCACCGGGAATATAAACTGGAAAGTGGAATATATAAAGGAAGCATCGTACAGAGACGGATATTGCTTATGAATCGATCTAAATATTTTGAGCACTGCTCTCGCTACGCTGCACGGCCTTGTTGCATCGTAGAGCTCGTGTGAACATCGTTGATCCTCTTTCTTTTTCTCTATCTATCTATCTATCTATCTATCTATCTTTTTCCCTCTTGTGCAATAACATCGTAACTCGATTCCAGCGGCTTTTTGAGTGGTTGCGTTGAAAGTCTCGCGTATATTACGCCCATAATATACATACATTTTTGTTGATTCGTCCGAAATTATCTAGAGAAGTTGCATATATCTATACTTGGGGTTAGATAAACAAATGTAAAATATATGCAGACAATATTTCGATCAATAATTTTATAATTGATTTCATTTATCTTTTACGGTCTTTCTCTCTTTCTTTTTCTCTCCCTTTCTATCTCTTTCCTTCTCTCTCTCTCTCCATCGAAATTTAACATAATTTATCGAATAATCTACTGTTTTATAATAAAATAATTAATGCTTTAAAGACACAAGTTTACGCAAAGCAACCATTATGATTAGCTTTTTCCTATTAATATTTTTTACAAATATTTTCGTAGGATAATTCATTAAATACAAAATTCCTTTTAAGACGAATAATCGCAAGTTTTAGTTAAATATATATAACAGTGAAAATATAATATATATTTTGAAGAAAAGTTTACATAAAATATAATTAAATAATAATTAAATTATAAAGTAATAATTAACATCCCTTTATGTAATTTGTTAATTTCCTCAGTTCGGAAAAGAGGATCAAATAATATTTGCCACGATAATGGAATTAACTGCAATTAAATTAGATCTGAGAGAGATATCGTAATAAATTTTAATTAAAAAGCTCGAAAGTATTTTCTTCAAAACTGGCAAAGTCGATTAAAGTATATCGTAATATTAAAAAGACATCTCGTCGATAGCATTTTCATCTAAACATTTTGTATAGGGGCAGGAAAATATTATGTTTCGATAATATACACAAAATATACATCGTATGAAATTTTTCTTGCAAAAGACACACGTGCACGTTTTGATAGAACATATATTTTTTTTATTAAAGTACTAAAGTGTTATATATATTTTTTTGTTTTCTTTTGCGAGTTACGATGATATTGGATCGGTCCGTCTGTCCGAAAATCCGCGGCTATTTCAGCAAATGACGGTATCGTCCTTTTACTTCGATCAAAGCATACGTATGCCATGTGATGTAAAACTGTAATCGTGTTAGAGTTTCGTGTAGAGGATTGCATCGAAATTGTGTAGCAGACTTTTATAAGATGTGGATTAGAGATGCATACATACATCGACACCCACATCGGCGCATGAGATCGCTCGTCGTCATATATAATGACCGTTTCGTACCCTCTTAAGCATTTCCATCATCGATATCGATAACGATAAATATATGCGACTCAAAATATATACGCTAGATTCTAGATAATTGATAATGAGACTGCACGCATCAACACTACACACATATTCTCTCGAGAAGGTATAGATGCACTTATATTTTACGGTGTAATTTTTACTCCTTGATCAATTTTTGTGATTTTATGAATCTATATATATGAATTCGCTGATAAATTTTTTTCATTATTTTTAAATATACATTTTGTACAAATGTATATTTTTACCTTACATTTAATCATTCTACAATGTTTATTATTAAATAGTCTGATTCAAATAATTAAAACGCAAATTTAAATGTACATATATAATTTATATATATATATATATATACATATGTACATATATGCTGGGATCTAAGGAGAAGCGCGAAATATTTTGCCGAAACAGTCTATACTCTTCAACTGATCCGCGTACATTCTTGGTAGTAGTTTCACGCTGCAAGCTCATTAAACAAATTTCACGGCCTAATTTAAGCGACGGCGCGACCCTGCCGCATTCTTCTAACTAATTGCTCACGATTAACCCGCCGGCTGGCACGTAGACGGACGTTAAGCGGCGTTACGCGCATTAATAATGCGCGGCTAATAGGCGGCGCGGTGGCTGCGGAACCCGGTCGGCGTCGTCGTTTATCCGCTCTACTGCGGCCTGGCGCGCAGTGGATCGTGACAGGGAGGTAAACCAGACTGTAAAAGGCTTTCGTATTTTGCGTCAGCTGGCCCTCCTTTGTTACAAATCGCTGTTCCTTACGCTACGCTCGCCCGATTTATATCCGACCCCGTCGCCGCTACCCGAAAAAAAAGAAAAAAAAACCAAAACTCGGAAATACGCGCTGTTCTTGTGAAAAAAAATTCGGTGACTTCGATTGTTCGATTTTTACGGAGCGCTCGTAAAATGTTTAGTCAAACCTTTGCGAATCGTATGTATCGTAGGACATTATTTTTCCGCGTTCCGGGAACTAAGTCTTATTATTAATAGTCATTTGCACAATATTTTCTTGTCTTATAGACTGAAAAAAATTTATTGAATTCGAATAAAAATTTATTTCAATACAGTCTAATAAATCATTTATTTGAAACTAATAATATTGATTTGATGTAGAAAATCTTTCTCAAAGTAGATAAATATTTATTTGTTTCAAAAGAAATGATTTATTAGGCAGTATTAAAATAAATATTTAAAAAATTTTTTTTTTTTCGGTGTATTTTCTAGAAATTTGAATTCCAAATGATTTAGTAGTCCTAACATTCGGAAAAGAAACACTGTACGCTCGTTCTATAAAATAAACAAGTATGGATTGCGTCCAAGGACTGCACGCCGTCGAATGGCAGTTTTCGAGACGATAAAAATGACAAAAATGTGCGCACGGATCGGTTCGTCCCGCTCGATGAGTGGCAGGTATCGATTGCGTTTTGACGTTTTGCATTAAAATACGTCGGTGCGCGCAGCGTGACGAACGATTGGCACATTTCATGGAAAATCCATCGTGATCGAGGTCTCTCGAAAGAGATCGCGCGTCATCGGACTCGTGGAAACGCGAGAACGCATTACGGCGGAATAATATTACGACTGATTAAGCTTCGTTTGAATACGCGTGTCTTGATGATCCCTCCTGTAAATTACGAGTGGAAAAACGCCGAGAACCTTCGCGGTCAATCAATCATCAGTCTTTTCGAAAATAAATCTAATTCGGGACAATCAGTCATCAAATTAAAAAAAGAAAATTAATATGTCGTGAATATAAATGTTCCAATTCCAACTGATTGGAATATTCTATTTTAACTTTATCCAATTTGTTATATGTATCGATCGTTCCTGACAACTGATAACAAACGATATTGCTTATTCTAATTGGAAGAAAACTACGTCTCATGTTTTCGCTACAATTAAGAGTTCGTAAAAAATAAAATTATAAAAAGCATACAAATTTTTACAACAAAATGGCAAAGTCTTATTCGATTTCTTGGCTTCTCGGTTTATAAATCCGAGAGCTTTTTAAAAGACTTCAGTGTCTCTTCAATCCTAATGTGACAGCTAGCCGACAGCTTTGATTACCGCAAGGTTTATTACCCAAAATAAATCTATCCAGGTATCGACATCAACTGTCACTTGAGCTTTTCGTCAATCATTCAGTACACATTACACATTAGTGGTATCGATTATCAAGTTTAATAAGTATTCCCGTCGTATACGTGTCGCGTATCCCGCGTCGAGAAACCACCCTGATTAAGACCCCGAAACGAAATCACCCCACGCGCGAAGGTCAGTTAGATGAAGGCTGAGGCTGGTGTGTTGTGCCACTTCCGGTAGCAGGTGAAAGACTGGCGAAACCTCCCTCGCCGGAGAATTGCACTATTCGGGAGGAGAGCTGGACTATGGTGCTGGTGAGCTGCGCCGAGAGCGAGTACTTCGCCCCGGGCACGGCTACCTACCTGCTGCAGGTCTTCGACGCCGACACCAGGCATCTGCTGGCGTCCGGGACGAGCGTTTCGCCGAGTAAGGTCGAAGTGACGGATCTGCCCGCCGACAGGAGTCACTCCGGCCTCGTGCTGTCCCTCAGGGTCATGACGGCGCACGCGATGAGCGAGGCCACGCTCCTCCACAGTCCGCACATTGTACCGGAGGGTAATACCCAGGAGCACCAGCGTTACCCAGGTAGGGCCACAATGGATCTCGCTCTCCCGCCCCTTCCCCTCGCTATGTATGTACGTTCCGATGACGCGATATGGTGCTTTTTTCAAGATGCGAGCGATTACAAGTCTCAATTCTCTCAAATATCAATAATTGCAACGTTATCATCGTCGTCGATACAGAGAATATTTTCGCGCGCGATCGCGAGATTTTCGGAATATGGATGACGATTTGTGCTCGCGACTGATGTGCGTTTTCATCTCTGGATATTTGTCGTTTGAATTTATATACGCTCGATAGCATTGATGTTTGCAAAATGTTTTTTTTTTTTTTTTATATATATAATGAAAAAAGAATATATGTAAATAAAATAAAAATTCGACGTGTAATCATAAAAAATACACGTGTAAATGCAAAAATGGTAGGAAATAGATAACTGTCTACAATTTTTATATTTTATCCAAGTAGTTTATCTGTTTTAGTTTTTGCTTGTGTAATCGATTCTTGCGATTGCTATTCCTACATTAATCGTATTATCTCTTCTTTTATTTTTTCTTAATTTTCTTTAGCTTAAACTGACGAGATAGACCCTATTTGTTGACATTTTTTATGTAAGTAATTAGTTTTTATCGAGATTCTTCCGTAACATTCTATATAGGAGGGAAATCCTGAATCTTATTTTCTCATAAGATTCGTAAGATTGTTCCTAAACCGGTTTTACTATATCTTCATTTTTTACTCGATTATAAATTTGGTCTCTATTAATTCGAAACGCGAATCAATGCTATATTTTCCTACATCTATATTTCGAATCGATGCAAGAATGGATGTGACGGCGAACGTTTTATGGAAAAACGTATCATCCGAAATCGTGCAACGTAGCTGAAACAAGCTAACATTCCGCATGGCGCGACTCGTTCGCGATGAAAATGTTCAATCACTGGAAACCACCCGACGTGTCAACATTCCGGGAAATTCATCACGAAGTATCTCGAAATTTGCATATTTGCACACGTGCTACAAATTTTTTTACACACCGTAACCATCGAGAGGAACTTGAATCATCGAATTAAAGGCAATCACCTGGGAATCTCGCGATTGACTTGTAGAAATATTGTTACACTGTTCGTACGACACGGTCAGATCTGCATGCGCCAAATTCGCGTTTACATGAAAAGAGCGCAATTCTCTATTATGCGTCACTGGCCATTGTTGTGAAAAATTTTGCCTGCTTCTTAATTAAGCTAATAGATATGTATTCTGTTACAGCCATTGCAATATAGATTAGTTGTCATTTGTGTATTTTATTTTCTGTATATCCTACATAATCCAGCTTTTGCCTGCAAAATTTTCCCGCACGTGTATATGATTAAAGTACGAAAGTAAAAAAGTAGATATACAAATTGAAAAGCATTGCCGATGTTTTTGCATGTTAATTAATTATATAATCTCTCTTTTTAATATAAAATTTTAGGAAGCAGAATGAAAAAGGTATCGTCTGTTTTTTTTTGCTACGATATCTCTCTCACACACATCATGTAATATTATACATTTAATTAAAAAACGAATCCAAAACGTAATTCCACGTTCGCACTTATGCGATAATTATCTTTGGTTGCAATATTTTTCGCTACATCGGAGAAATAATTTATACATCAAATATAATAATTATATTTAATAAAGCAAAAATTTTTCGTAAATCAATTTTGAAATTTTGAGACATTTTTAAATGCTTCACTTCTCATTTATATATTAATAGCATTTAATATTTAATATAATGAGAGAACGTTGAAACGTGGTTTAATTTTAACATTTCTAGAAAGACATTAATAAAGACATAATATCAATTAGCTCCCTTTTCTCTTTAAAATATTTCATATTTTTCCATATCTCATATCTAAAAAAAAATTAAACAAAATTTTATGAACTTTTTATCAGACGCAAACTTTGTAGGTATGTCATTAAACTAATAAAATGTGTAAGTCTGAAAATGCAATAAATTAGGATAAAAGATAAGAGTTTCATATCCTTAATCTCAATATTTTGAAGAAATTTTCCGAAAGCACTGTTATAAACTCAGAAAGCGCCTCTTTTTTGTCGAGTATTATCATAAATACATCCGATAATCCCTCGTCTTCTTCCGTGTTTGTTTAGTTTTCGCGATGCAACTCACAGCAAGTAGTTTACATAAACAGTTTGTCTCCGTTACGCTAACAAACTGCGTATTTTGTAGCCGGTAAACGCGACGTAGTCGCGCTCTTAAACGCGATTATGCTATTGTATTACACTTTCGTCGGCCGCGCTTACGATATATACAGCGATATTACAAACGACACCGTGAAGATAATACGGTGCAGATATGCTAATCGAAGGTCTCGCCGTATTCTTGGGCGGAAGTCGGGCTTACCTCGGCGCATCCTGCGAACAGTTAACACGTACACGAGAGAGCGAAGTCAGGGTGAACTTGTTTCCAAGGCGCACCGCTAAGTAAGGCGACTGCTCGCTCGCGCATGTACACCCTGTCGAGGAGCATTCATCCGAAATTGCTCTGCGGCCGAGCCCGATCTTCCCGAGTTTGTCGAGAGACGCAGTGATGTACATAAACATCCTTGAAGCGTATCGCGAGACGTGTCGCCGAGATCCTTAGACGAATGTGTCATGAACAGAAGAGTCGAAGTTGCGCGTTCAACCATTTGCGACTATCTGATAATATTGACATATTTAATTCGCCCCATTTAAACTCAACAATGCATTCGATAGAATATACAGAACATTTCACTCCATCTAGACTATTTATCATTTATTCAGAACAAATCTTTAAAATTTTCAGGTCAGTAAATTGTTAACGTATCAGTATATTTTATTTACTTGTACAACTTTTGCTACGATTATATGGAATATTAAATTATACAAGTATTTTTAAGTATATAGATTCATTATTTATTAAATCATTAATATATCACGAAAGCTTATATCCTTATTTATTTACCCGAGCCTGATTATTAAGTAAAGCAATCGGGTCGAATAAATAAAATAAAGATAATATTCCGTGACACATTTAATCGTCTAATAAGTAATTAATCTATACTTCAAAATATTTGTATTAAATGTAATATTCCGCATATACAGGATGTTCGATGATCGCTGAATTTCTCGTGTGAAAATAGGACGAATTAAACCGAGTAGGAAAGTCCCTTTTGAATTTTTCGTAATAATTGAAGAGAAATTAATGGAGAAAGATCGTCCAATCCGTGCAAAACGGAAAAAGACATTCCACTGTCACATAGGCGTAATACATAATTAAACTTGATTAATCCCAACTCTCCGTTGCACGCCTATATAGTAATATTGGCTGTCTCTTCTGCTCGCGCGGATTGGCCGATCTTTTTTCATTAATTTCTTATTAATTATTACGAAGATCGCAAACGGTAGAAGACTTTCCTACTCGGTTTAACTCACTCTACCTGCAGGCGATAGGTGGGCTGATTATTATACCGGACACCCTGTAAACGTAACAAGTTGCTACGGTTAAATAATCTTAAGTTTCCCGAATGAGGCAGATTCCACGAGGCAATATTAACGTGTAACACGAGGTAGTTGCAGGAACACAATTTTCAATTAATCTTTCGTAAATTAATGGATAAGGTCACACCGAAAGCGGTTTAAATTCGAAGACAATAAAGCGGCTTAAATTCGAAGACAATAAAGCTGCACGCACAAGTGACGCGCATCGGAACACGAAACATTATTGCGCGAGGAGCTCGAGTCATGCGCCAGAGATTTGTTACATCTGTTTATTATGTCACGGGGCGCGTTTTGTAAGACGAGTCTGAGAGAAAATCCGGAAGTAATTTCGGAAGGAAATCCTATGTGATTTAAATTAATCTAAAGTTCAGAAACGTGACTATCTATTATAATATCATCTTATTTTTATTATTATGTGAATATGTTGATTATATCTCTTATTCATTTTTCACATTTTAATTTTCTCTATCAAATTGTGCAAGACCAAAAATTTATTAGCGTAAAATGTTAAATTTTTTACGAAAAAAAAACAAACATGAATTATTGAAAAAATATTTTGATTTCCTTATGTAAAAATGTACAATTTTTTTTATTAGTATAGAATAATATTTTATAAATCTGAATAAATAAAAGCTGAATAAATACAAGTCTTCCGTGAAAAAAATGTTCATCGATTTGGTTACCTCTGTTAAATTTTTTGATATTAAAATGTCTTTTCTCTTATATATATTATTCTAATATAAATAAACCCGTAAAAAGCTCCATAATCTTGACTTACTGTATATTCTTCAAAATTGCATAGAAAAATATGCCTGAGATTCGCGCAGTCTGACGAAATTTTCCATGCACGTACAGAGGCATAAATTCAAATCGTCATTAGCTTAGTTTGATGGTCGTGAATGTTGACCCTGGCTTTAATATCATCTTAGGAGGAAAGGGAGAGAGAGTGGAAGCTCCGGAACAGGAACGAGCCAGCAGAGAGGCATTCATTTAACGGAGTTCACGGATATAAGTGGGTTTTGATTAGCCTCGAACTTGAGTACCGCAGCAGTTCGAAAGTGGAGTGCATTTGAATCCCAAATTCATTGCTAATGCGGTTGTATGATCTATGATCTGCGCAAACACTCGCGTCGACCGCGTATATTTGTAACGGAGAGAAGAGAACGAAATGATTTTTCGATTCGACGAAGAACTCCGAGAAGAGAGACTTGTCTCTTACGGAAATGGGGTGCACGCGGATTCGCCGAAAGAGAAGCTGTTGCTTGAATTTATCTATTCGTGTTAAATGTCTATCTTCGGCTAGGAAAGTTTTTATCGAGTCTCTAATTTTTTTGAAAATTTCGCTTATTTCGAGCAATAATAACTCTGTAAATCGGAAAACGAGAAGATTTGACACAAGAGCGAAGAAAAAATTGAGATGGAGCACGGGGAGAGAATCAAAATATTTATACGAGAATGAAAATTCGGATTTTTAGCAGTACTCGCATACACATATCTATATATATATATATATAAAGTGTGAATTTTTCGAACGCAGTCAAAACGTAGTAACGCACATGCGTGGTTCGATCGTCTGTATAAGATATGAGAAGCGCCTGATAAATTTTCATAGCATTCCGTAAATCGGCCAGGTCGTGATAAACCCTAGGAATGCCACCGCGTTGGGATTCAAACGAAGCTGCCTTTACGATCGCGTCGCAGTTAAGAGAAACGTTATACGTGCACATTTTTTACGGCCACTTTTTACGGACCATATGCTACACATAGACATACACACACATACCCACCCGATATATCCGGCACTTCCTAACGTACTATAAGAACGTATAGGATACTTCTAAAATATGCTACTCTTACGGCATAGTTCTTACGCTTCCAAGTTAGGTTTATGGTAGGTTGTAAGCTATATTTTCCGCGGACTTTAATTGTACGGAGATCTTCGCAATAAGATTCGTAAATTCCTTCCGCGTGAAAATGCGGATGTCTTTTTTCCTTTTTTTTTAAATCGAAAAAAATGCGTGTTCCTTTCTTGAACAATATTTCCTCTTATTTAGTCGAGGGTCGTGTTCTTTACGTCGAGCGCGTGGATTAGTTCACGCGATCCGTAGTAATTTGTCATAATTTGCATTAAATTTACGTGACACTCATGAATATTCCCGACACGCGAGACACGTATATATTTTTTTTCCATGAGCTCATATCGCAACATGTTTCTTCCCGCAAGCATAATAAAAAATTATTCATGTCATTAATATTAATCAAACAGTAAGTAATTATTACGAGAAGATTAGGCAAGATAAATTTTGAACTTTCTCGCGCAAAAAAGGATTCTGTCAGATTTTCCTAATTCAGTCAATCGCGATTAAAGTATATAGTCGAACTAAAATAAACAAAACTCGAAATTCTTTAAGGATTTACAGATACGATGAGATCATATAAGTGAGAGAGACGCGTTTCAAAAATCGAAAATGCTTTATCCATAATCGAATCGACATTCACAAAGAGTTCGCGACGTAGTGAAGCAATTCCCTTTGTCGCGTTTCATGCATTTTCCATCAGGCCTTTGTTAACACGTTCTTTTAACAGTGCGCGAAATAAAAAAACCGTTTTCGATATCGAATAATGCTGAAAACGATAAACATTGTTTCTTTAAATTTAAATAATAGACAAATAATTTAGAAAAGAAATTAAAATATAAACACTCTTCGATCTTTAATTTATATTAAAAAATTATAAATCTCATATAGTCTCCGATTATTACATTTTCTTTGATCGTTGCTTGACTGAATGATCGGAATGGATATTTCTCAATTATTGTAAAGTTCTAAGAAAAGTTATTGCAACCATTTTTATTTCTTTTCGAAACGATATACAGGGCGTTTTAGAACGGGCTGAAAACTTTTTAATAGCAAATTCCTGGTATTATTTGAAGACGATTTTTCCTCAGCGAAAATGTCAAGGAAGGCCATAATTTTTCGCAATTTTTACCATCATGTATCGTTCTACCTAAGCCTTAAATTAAAATTCTATCAAAGTAAACTCTGTCTGAAATTAATTGCAGAATGTAATTTTGTTTAATATTTTATTTTCACAAAGTTTAGTTTGCAAAAAAAAAAATATTTGCAAACCGCTTAACTGGAAAATTATTGATGCCTTGACATTTTTGCTGAGGAAAAATCGCCTCCAAATGATGCCAGGAATCTGTGACGAAAACTTTTCCGTCTGAAACATCCTGTATATCATATATAGAAATTCGAGCACCATTGTCCATCCCCCTTTCTCTTCGTATTCGCGAAACAATTGAACACAATTTGCAGCTCTCACGCCAGTTATGCTGTCGCTGTCGGGTCCACTGTTGGGCGCCGTGGTAGGAGCCACAGCGGGGTTGCTCCTGGTGATCTTCGTGATCGTGCTGGCTGTCAGGCTACGCTATCGACCCCGATCTCAGGAGGACTCTCATGACGACGGCGGGATGGCGAACCTGGCGGCGTCGGGGACCGGCGCCTCGTCTCCCCATGACAAATCGTCGACCTTGCCCCTCAGCACCGATAGCATCGAGAGCTTCGAGAAGAATCCCGATATAATACCGCACGCGAACGGTAGGCGAGAATACCTGTCACTCTCCACTTCGCAGCATGCCCCTTGATCTGAACCAGAGTTTATCTCCGGGATTGCATGATAAACGTATATACGCGCCTCTCCCCGTACAAGACGAATCGCTCCCGTTATCGTCGTTATTAATCGCCCGAATTCTCTCCCCAGAATCACCCCGATGTTGATAAATTAAGTCTCGTTTATTGTTAAACAAGACGAAAATGCCAAGATTACGATACGCGATGACTGCAAAGTTTTCAGAAGATAGATTCTCTTTATTTAAATCTGATACAAATATAAAAGCTTTATTTCATAGTCCTATAACTGCAAATGAGTTATTGAAGCCAAATACCACGAAAAGTACACTCATGTTTTTTAATTTAATCGTAATTGAAGATTGCTTTTGCGAAACTCAACTTCAGTACGAATTTTCCCAAATTTAGTTATATATGTTTGATATATTTAATTTAATAGAATTATGTTAAAGAAATAAATCGATTTCACATTGATACTCATAATAATAGATAATAGATTATCTGTCTCAATTCTCTTATTTTTAACAATATATACGTATATACGTAGAAATAATTAATTAAATGTGTTTTCTAGTAATTTTTAATTTAATAGATGTCAATACGCTAAAACTATTCTTATTAGACCAAGATATTTTTTAGAGAGAAGAAATTTATAATCTTAATTTATCTTGCAATTTCTATTCATATTGGATGTAATTTCTCTATCTTATTCTATTGCAGAAAATTCATATGCGGAACTATGTAAAGGCACATCACCACGATACGTGCTACAGCAAACACGTTCGGATACGACTACCTTCCCGGTGTCAAACAACGTAAGCTTACAGAGAAATTAGTCTGTAATTTCTGTCGTTATTTATAACGATTTGTAATTAGTAATTATTTAGATATTGATTTTTATTAATTAAATATCTAAAGTATTAATTTTAATTAATATCTAAATAATTATTTAATAATTATACAATTAACTTATAATTATGCGTAAGAGAAAGCGTCTTTGCTTGTCTTAAAAAAAGGACATACAAGAGATGATCGTACTAAAAGTAGAAAATTAACTCGACATAATATAAATGTACATTTAATTGAGAAACTTGTATTTAGATATATCGAACAGATATATACATTTCTCAGCAGGGAACCGAGCTAACGTACGCCGAATTAACGCTAAGGGGAAACCGGCGAATACCTCCGAATTGCTACCAGCCCGTGCAAATCTCTGGCAATCTCCAACGGCCCCAGCTGCTGCCCATGTCGACTTTGACGCGCAGACAGCCGATCCAAGAGCCGACGATTTACGCGCAAGTCGCCAGTCATTCTAAACCGATTTACGTGCCACCGCCACACCCGTACATGAATCGTTCTAGCGACGAAACTACGGCGGAAACGCCATTGATCGGACACGACAATAAGGTAATAGACAGACGAATCTTGTCAAAACGTTGATGAGCCTTTATGAGTTTATCACCCTACATTTATCGAGTTTTATCGTTATAATATCTTTCAAAACGATAGATAAAACTCTCTCTATTTGGAAAAGTTTCTACTTGAATTCTCTCTTTTCAAGTAATCATTGTTCCATGTTATAATTCTCTCTATATATAAACTCAGCTCATAATTAAATACTCAGATTGCTGGTAATTCAGATTGATGATACTCGAATAACATATATATAATCACAATGTAATATGATAATGTGATCACACATATATATCATTGATAAAATTAATACACATAGAAGATGATGGATTCATAAAGTTAGAATTGGGGGAAAAAATAGAATTTTATCGTTTGTAATAATATTACTTGCTAAATAAGAAGATAAGCAAGATTTCATTGCGTTTCTATATCTTTTCTAGATCACTACGATCAGTCATTCAGGCAACTCGATCTGGCGTACCGACACGCCACCCTGCTCGAACGCGCCAACGACATGATTCCAGTAAGCTACATCGTAATTCACGATTCCATTTCACTCCTAAACGTCTCTCAATGTATTCCCCTCAGAAAAAAAAATAAATAAAAAAGTGTACACACACACACACATCGATCCACGTACATGTTAAGTGAGGAATAACTTCGAAGGAGGCGCCGCGATTTTCCCTCCCCCCATTCTCTCCCCTTCGCCCCACTGATAGAAATTGTTAGATCTTTACTACGAGTGTTATATAAATAGAGGATTCGTTCGACAATGAAAGTAATTAATAAAATCGCGCGGAGTATATATATTATACGTATAGATTATATACGCTTTCCGAATGATTTGTGATAGTTGATTGATTGAAGTCGGGAAGGATTGAACTGTTTTTCAGCCGTCCGTAAAATTCAAGACTGGGCGAATGCACTTTCTTTTTTATCCGGAAAACAGCACGTTATACGCTCAAGAATTCGATTATTAAAACAATATTATTGGAGAATTCGCAATAATTATATATAAAAAGATAATTCTCAAAAAAACTGAGTGAGTTTTTCTCTTTAACTTTTATGTATATAATTTTATGTATATTAATATTCGATTATTTGAGTTGATTTTAACTTGTGTTAAGAATTAAAAATTGAAATATAGCATTTCGCCCGTCTTTGTGTGTAAATCAAACGTCGGTGGATCGCGAACGCAACGATTTAGTGATTGGTAGAATAAAGTTAGAAGCGCGATTATTAATCGCATAATCCAGCATTTTCTAAATTTCGTTTAATATTACTTTTCAAGCAGAGAGTAACTTTATTTTTAATGAAATGTATGAAAAACATGTCATTAAAATTCTAGAGATCCCGATCATCATTTTAATACAACTGAACAAATATGAACTTATTTTATTTTTTAGAACATTGAGAATTGTGTTGATTTTCGAAGAATTATATTGCCTTGAAATTTGTGAATCGTGATTTTTGAAACAATTAATACGTTATCATTAAATAAACGTGTCGAAGAATTCGATATGTTACATTACGTATATTGTAAAAAATGTGAATTGAAAGAGAATTGGAATTTATTCCGAAATATGAATTATAATAGTGTATCGAATACACGTTAGAGAGTGTCTTTACAATAATTCCTTTTTATTTTACATTTAATCTACCTCTTTATTTTAATTCTCACACAGTCATGCACACAGAATGTTAAAATATAATTAAGAATTCAAGAATCGTGAGTTCCCTTTGACACATTTTAATCCATATATTTTTATTGCTATATATGCTTAAGCGAGAAGCGATATGCGATGAGCTTTAACATCGCGATAACGGGAAGAATGCCTTCATTTTCACTTTGGTTTTATAGTTACCCGCTACTTGTGTAGTACCACTTACTTAGCATAGGTCGTTTTATTCGTCAGACGACTTACCAGAGTAGAGCAGAATAGAAATCGAAGAAGAGGGGCGGATGAAGCGAGATAGCGCAGTTCCGAGGATCATGACCGATCATCGACGTAATCCTTGCGAGCTTCAGTCTCATCCGGAAAATATCCTGAGAAGTAAAACGAAAAGTTACAGTGATGTCATGTCTGTCATGATGATAATCGTAAAGAATTCTCACGGAAACTTTGTCACGTGCGATCCTACGAAGACTGAATGAAACAGAGATGCAGGATTTGTAACGCGAATATATGCAGGTGCCATATAACAGAGACGGGCTTGTTTCGAGTTGTGTTTGCTCGATTAATCGAAAATCAATTTACTATACTCTAAAAATATGTATATATAATTAATGTTCTGTTTAAGATTTCTTTGTATATCGTATGTTAAAACTATATTTAGTTGAAATTTAGCGATTTAAAAAAAATTTGTTTGCCTTATTAAATTTTAAACGAGAAATATATTTCGTATTTACGAATAGAAGCAACTTCTTCGAAAAAAATAGTATTTGATAAATGTGTCACTATATTTGACTCATTTAATAAATATAAAATTTTTTTCTGACAAGTTTCTTGATGTATGCGTACAAGAGCAATAAAATATTCAAATGTTCCCATTTCAATGCCTCATTACTACTTATGGAAGAAAGTATAAATATTGTGTTCTAAAAAGAAAACGTAAAAATTTAATCGCGTATAATCTGTTTTATTAATATCAATTAAGAGTTTATAAAAATATAGGCTTTGTAGCTGATGTTAAAACATGTTTAACGGTAGCATAATAAGTAATCTATCTATTCATTAGATCGCTCTAAATAATTCATATGGTAAATTCAAGGAAATATATTGATTTATATAATGTAAGTAATCGCGCGCCCGTCTCTGACGTATGAGTTTATAACAATGGGAGTGATGTAAGAGAAAAATTAAGAAACAATAAAAAATTATGACTTTCCTTTCTTCTTTATTTAGTTTGATAGTAACTAAGATAAATAATTTTACATCGCTCTCATTCTGGTTAACTCATAAAATCGCTGCGCGAGAGCAGCTGTTGTTCGAACGAATTCGATATTGTTGTTGTATAGTGTAACGATCACGATTCGTTTTATCGAGGACGAAACGTGGCTAAAAATCGATGTCGATTGTAATAAAGAACGGTGTTCGCGCGTTAAATACTCGTATCTTTTCTTATATTGAGGACGACACTCGACAATGTTGGCGAGTTTAGAATGCGAATCTCGCAAATTACCTCTATAAGGAAAAGAGTGCCGAGCAATGCAACGTAAAAAATAAAGTTGCAAAAATGTATAGAAAATCTTTTCAATCGTATCCTTTAAATATTTGTAAATGATACCCCGATCTTTCTGTTTCTCACTGCCGTACAAATTCGAACAACAATACTAATTTATAAGCAATTTTTATACAATTGTTACATGACGTTTTGTAACCGTATTGGAAAATACTCTGTTCGCATATAAACTTTAATCACTTGTCTTTGAATCACTTCTTCCGAAATAGTAAATAATATAAAGCACTATCGATTAACACAGACTCCGCTGTATTCGCTCAATGTCTCAAATTATATGATGTAGATGTTGGAGGAATCAGAAATCTCACATTCAACAGAATGCGGCAACAAAAAATTTACCACCATTAACCATAAGCTAATTTACTTGCAGCATAATTATTGAAAGAATACAAATATGTATGTATGTATATGTAGAATATTAGAAATATTTTTTTTTTATAATTATGTATGTATTTATAATTTTTCTCGCCACGTACCTATATATTTGTATTAAAATATATATTTGTATTTATATTAAAATATAAAGAGAAATATTCTAGAATAAATGAAACCATCGGCATTCTTAATGAATAGAAATATCAACGTGCTCTGGCGTGTGTGAACTTTCTGATTCACTTGAAATAATGAGATTATGGTCCTTTCGATAAAATCAACGATCAAACATGTTCGAATGACTTGACGAGTCGGAGCTCTATTTCTAATCTAAATTTTACAATACTTTGTAAGTTAATAATAATATAGCGAGAAAAATTCATGATTCGCGCATACTCGAGTGATGAATAATAAATAATAATAAAGAAATAAGAGTATAAAAAAGGGAATAAAAGACAGTGGCGGTAGTTGCGCGCCAAAATCAGAGATTCCGTATTTTGTCAGATAACTATAATTATTATATTGCCAGTGTAACATAAGACTTTGATATGTATTGTTAGTATGCGTCGTGGGTATTAAAGAAGAATGAATTTAAATATAAAAAAAACGTACATTATACACCGACACATATACACGTGCACACACAAACAATATACGAACATATGTACACGTTGTGTTACACGTGTTACATGTTTGTGTAAAAAATAACTTATAAGACACACAATATATATAAGCATAATTTCAAAAATAACTTTTAATATAGATTTACTTGTGTAAAATATAAGGAGAACTAATTGTGCTCAATAAATTTCAATAAATAACGATTTTGCCTATGCCAATAACTAAATCATTATTGCAGTCTTAATTTTTTTTATAGAATTGTATTAAAAAGGTGTAATTCCACATCCAATAAAATACCTACGATTTTCAAAAAGCATATACGTACTGTACATTTTTATTTGTGACTAAACTTGATTTTTTTTTCTTTTTTTTTTATTAAATTTATGCATTCAGAAATAATAATATATATAACCTAATTCTTTTTTTGTTTAAATTAATTGATAAATTTAGCTTTATCGATTTAAAACACATACCTTGTATTTTCCTTTTGAATAACATTGCCAATTGTAAGGTGCAAACAATCTATATTCTATATATTATATTAAAAATTTACGTTTCTTTCGACAATATACATATATATATATATAAACTAGTACTTTGTTGCTTCAAATCATTTAACGTCTCACTTTAATATTCGCAACGTTCGCGAGCGTCATCTTGTCTTTATTTAACTTCATGCGAGCAACAAGGATGAAACGATTCCACGAGCATTACGAACGTTATATTAAGTGAAATACGCCTATAGAGACGCATATATTCACAAACAAATTCGAATTTATTACGATTTCTTCATTATTTAACGTTCTTGGCGATCGCAATGCTCGTGGGATCATTCCATTCTTGTTGTTCGCCGAAAATTAGACAAGGATAGATAATGTTCGCGACCATTACGATCTTCGCTGAATGAAACTTTACATTAAATTTTGTTGCGGCTTAGTTCTATCATTTAAGAAATATATATCCTTGTACCTTATGCTCCGCTTTCGAACGTCATTGCCAAATTATAGTACAAGCAGCCCAATTCGATGCCTCCTTCGACGATCAAAGTTGCACTTTACATCGCTTCGAAGTGAACGTGTATACGTACGCGTACGTTATGAATAAATTCGAATTTATCTCAATTCCCTCGTTCACTTTTCGTCACGTGGTCGACTATCGATTGCTCGCTGTCACGTGATCGACTATCGACTTACAGCTGACATGATGGCGTCCATGATGATGCCGCGTGACATTTATTGGTTAAGATAATATAATTGAGAAATTGCAAGAAATGATTTATAGTTATCAAGCAATTATAAAAAAATGTCACATAAAATGAACGTAACGCGCAGATTAATACGAGTAAGCAAACGTCTTGTAAATACTGAGGCGAAATGTCAAAACAGACCGGAGTGGATAAAACCAATCGGATATCAAACCCCAGTATCTGTATACAATCCGATAACGAAATGCAAAGTTCCATTAATATTAAAAACGGAAAATATTTTGAAGTGGTATATGTGCGGACCTACGGTCTACGATTCAGCGCACATTGGACATGCAACGTAAGAAGTGTCACTTGAAAAGTTTTTGAACCACTATTTTTTTATTATTTTCTTTAAACTGTTGCTTTATAATGAGACCCATCAGTTTGACATTAGTATTTATTTAGCATTTAATTTGATATATTATTGCACACAACATTATATATTATATATGTTATATTATATATATTTTATAATATAATACATTTTATCATCAAAGTCAATATAAAAGTTTCATAATTTTTCCCTAATTTATATAGTATTACAATTTGTATATCTTTACATTCTTTTCCATTGCTTAAAAAATTTAACATTTAATTTAAACGTGTAATAGAAATTATTGTATTTGTTTGAGAATGAACATCTAATTTGCTAATGCTATGTAATTGAATTACTTATGAATAACTAATTTTTATTTTACTTTACAGAACTTACATAAGATCAGATATTATTCGTCGAATTCTATCAGATTATTTTAACTTAGATGTATTATTGATAATGGGTGTAACGGATATTGACGACAAAATAATTAAATGTTCCATTGAAAGCGGTAAAGATTTCAAGACCTTATCGAGACATTTTGAAACTGAATTTTATGCTGATATGAATAAGTTAAATATTCGTGAACCATATTTATACTGTAGAGTTACAGACTATATACCACAGATCATACACTTTGTTAAAGAGTTGGTAGCCAAAGGTTATGGTTATGTTACAAAAGATGGTAAGATATTTTTAAGAAATATTTTTCTTGTTAAATATTTTATTTTTTTTTTTTTTTTAAATAAATGATTATGAAAAATTTTCTTCAATTTTTACATCAATTCTTACATAAGAAATTGTGCATCATACAGGATCTGTTTGCTTTGATACAAACAAATATAACAAATATGGTAAATTAAGAAACCCTATTCCTGATGCTGCAAAAAACAAACATCCGGATAAAAAATCAGCATTAGACTTTGCTTTGTGGAAAGCATCAAAAGATAATGAACCATCTTGGAAATGTCCATGGGGCTATGGTAGACCAGGCTGGCACATAGAGTGCAGTGCAATTGCAAGGTAATTCAAAAATTTGTTCGAAATATTTCATATGGAAATTATTTTGTATTCTTTAAATTCTATCTATCTTTAGATTTGTACATTTGAATCTTTAACATAATTATTTTTGTAAAGAAATTTATTAAATATATATCTATGTAAATAATACTCACCTATATAGAAGTATGTATCTTCATCAGCGCAGTCTTTGGAAATTCTGTAGATGTACACAGTGGTGGAATAGATCTGATTTTTCCCCATCATGAGAATGAAGAAGCACAATCTTGTTGTTATCACAATGTCGATCAATGGGTCAATTATTGGCTTCATTGTGGTCATTTGTATCTGAAAGGAGATGTAAAGATGTCAAAAAGTCTTAAAAACACTATAAGCATACAGAATTATCTTGAAAACTATTCAGCAAATCATCTTAGAATGCTTTGCCTACTTTCTCATTATCGAAATGGTATGCAATAATGTTAACATTAATTTTAAAATAATTTAATTTGAGTGTAATTTAAACTTAATCTTATTACAGATATTGAGTTCTCAGACGAAGTTATGCAAAATGCAGTGTTGGTAACCAAAAAATTTGATAACTTCATAAGTGACTGTGATAATTATGTTGCTGGCAAATTTGAAACCGGTGAAATTGACGAAAATCTTTTACTTTCAGTAAATAATCAGTGTTTTACTTTTTTGAAAACTGATATTTAATGTTTTTAATACTGAATTTTCTGTACATTATACAAAAACGTACAATTTAAAGATTATTTGATTACTTTTTTACTTACTTAGATAAATAATTATATAATCATATATAATTTTATGTGATATAGTGTGTTGAGACAAATGTTATAATTTTTGGATATTTTTTAGATTTTACATGACACAAGAAATAAAGTTCATTCAGCATTGGCGGATGATTTTGAAACTTCAAAAGCTATACATGCTATCATAAATCTTGTTGGAATAGGAAATAAAATGTTGCATCAAAGTAATGTAAGTCACTTGCAAAAATATTTCTTAGTAATTAATATTAAATTATATTTATATATTTGTAAGTGTATATTAATATACAAAATTTTTTATTGTACTATTTTAATTATTTAGCAATTAATTATTTAACTAATTTTAAATTATAGATAACACCTCACAGTAAGAGTGTAAGTGCCATTGCTGCTGTTTCAAATTACGTTTCTAATATTCTTTCAAAACTTGGCATTTCACGATCTACAATGTCAATGGCAGAAAATCGACAAGTTAAAGATATTATTGATAATTTTCTGAACTTCAGAATGGCTGTCAGAACTAAAGCACTTGAACAAAATCCAAAAGATACAATTTTATTAAAAGAATGCGATAATGCACGAACGAATTTGTCTACTTGTGGAATTGTAATAAAGGTAAAAAGTTTTATATTAAAAATTATATTTTTTACAAGTGTTCATGAAAAATTTTATACAAGATCTATAATCTACATCTATCTTATTAATCATTTATAGGATCAGCAAGGTGTCACTAGTTGGAGTTGGAAATAGAATAATTCTATGTAATTACAGATTAAATAAAAGTTTATTATAAAAAGAATATTGTTAACACTTTCTTTAACACATCAATCAAGTAATTCATCAGTTTAATCGGTAACTTTTCTGAGTTTTGTTGTACTGTCATTGTCATCAGTAATTTTTCTCTTTTGAGCATTCTTTTCTGATAATGTTTTCTTTAAGCCTTTCATCTTCCTTGTTTGAAGTCTATCGATATTTTGTGTTCCAATATGTATACGACCAAATGTTGTTCCAAGTGTATCTTTAGAGATATTTTTCTTCTTCTTAATCTATGAATATGATAATATTATATATATATATATTTAATCTTAATATATTTGTTTGGTGCTATATAAATGTGTAATTTAGAAAAATACCTTGAGTTCTTTAGGTTTCTTGCAAGCTTGCTTGAATAAATCTTCAGAGGCAAACTTATTACGCCTGCATAACAAATCAGCACGTGGTCCTATTTCCTCAAGTTCTATTCTAGGTATCCTTGTATTGGATTTTTTCAAAAGTACCCTAAAAATATTTTAAAATGTTTTTGAGAGAGAAGCATTCTTTAATATAATTACATCATATATATATATATATATATATATATATATATATATATATATATTTGTTTAATTTTATTTTTATCTTACCTGTAACTACGCAGAAGTATTTTATTTTCAACTGCTGTAAAACTTAAGACATGTTCGAGACCTTGCAATCTGATCTTTTCGACCACTTCCCTTTGGAACATATCAATAAGTAAGTTTTTAATTCTTCCAAATTCATAATTATTTTCAAAGAGTTCACCATTGAAGACCAACAAGGGTTTTATTCCCACAGTAATCTTTTCAACTTTAAAATCTTTTAATCCTTTATAGTTTTCAACACCAAATTCTACCATATCTAATAATGTATGCTCGTACATTCGACCTATCATGAAATTATGTGGACGTTTCTTATTATGCGAAACCATCATGAAAAGAGATGCTTCATACTTAGAAGCAAATTTCTCAACAGGTACAATATTCTCAAATGGTAGTATATCATTTTTCTTTTGCATCATTTGTGCATTAGGTTTCTTCAGATCGTACTATAAAATATATTGAATATAAATAATATTAAATATTACACATAGTATGTTTGATATATTCAATCTCAAAATTCTATTAATATTTTCAGAGAATTATATATATCTCATAAAAAAAACACTAAATAATATATAATTAACAATATATAAATTATTTTCACTTACCAAATCCTTCATGAAATCGATAACAAGCTGTGAATTATTTTTACTTTTGAGGCACAAAGTCTCTTTAGCATTTTCTACTAATTGAGGTTCTTTTTTTATTAAGGCTTTTTTACCTTTATGTGTAACTGGTTTTCTATGTGGAAATATTGCTTATAATTATAATGTATAATACAAATTGTTTTTATGTATGCTATTTATTAATACAAAAAATATAAAAGATAACAAATAACTTACATCCTATTTATGATCGGCATCGTAAAACGATAGATTCTTCTTCTTTTTGGATTGTCTTCTTATTCGGGATATGTGATTATCACGATTAAAACACAATTATTTTACTTGCAAATAACCTATCGATACTCTATACGACACACGTGTATAGCAAACAGAACTCAGAAGTTTTGCGCATGCGCGACAAAAGCGCCATCAGTAAATCGCTCTTGCATATTTGAATTACAAATAAATAAAATATCAAATTTGTTATAATTTAAGAGCGTTTTTACAATAATCCTTCACTAATCATGGCTGTATAATTTTATATAATATTGTTAATATCATATAAATTGCATTACATAAATATAAATTATTATATAAATTTATTATATAAATTATATAATTATATAATATTATATATGATATTAGGAAGAATTTGATATATATTCCTGTAAATCAATAATATATATATGATATTATATATGATATTAGGAAGAATTTAATATATATTCCTGTAAATCAATAATATATATATATATATATAATATATATAATATATATATATTATTCTTTAATAATCTTCACTGAAGATTCAGATTTAATATCTAAATGTACATATATATGTCAAAATATATAAATAAATAAAACTTTATCATACAAAACTTTAGAATAATTATATAACTTCTCAAAATATATCATTTATGATACAAATTTATTATCTACATATATAAATATTTCCTTACAATTTTATACTCATTAATAATAAATATATTAATTATTAATATATTTATATATTAATAAATAAATACAAAAAAAAGTTATTATATTTAGCGATAATACAGTAAATTGTAAATTGAACAAATAATGGTGCGAATATATCATTTTTTTCAATTCAAACAAAAGCGCGCGATGCGCGTAAATAGAGAAAGACGCGCATGCGTGAACCGTCTGTTTTGTAACAGTTATATACGTGGTGCCCGGCCGCACAGTACACCGCGACAACATATTGAAAAAAAGCCCTTCATCCTGACTTTTCATAAGTCTATCATGACAATAAGGTCAACGAATTCGTCGAGCTCGAACACATAGTTAGTACAAGCGCAAATTCGGCAATCATGGATCAACTAATTATCCTAATAGCGGCGATTCATCTGCTATACTGTCCGTTCACGAAAGTCGAGGAAAGTTTCAACCTGCAGGCTATACATGATATTCTATATCACGGTTCCAATCTGACTGAGGTAATTGATTGAAATATTTAAACAATAATTCATCAGTCAAACGAATCGAAAGAGCAATCGTGTTCATCTCGGTCAACTGATCGCGATCGAGCGATGCAACGTAAAACATGCAGAGTTATATTTATAGCACCGAACACGTGTATTTTTAAACGTGCGATCAGCTGATACCGCTCCGAATCTTTTAAGACGGCATAATAAATGAAAATCGACTATTTTCTTATTATCCCTTTTTTTTTATATTTATTAGTAGTACCCGCGGCAACAATCTGATCTATATAATTTTTAGATTGTACTTAAGTTAATACCTAATATATGTTTATACCTATGATCATTACTTGTACATTTAACATCACAGAAATTATATTCATAAATTATATTGCTTTTTTTCCTTGATAGTATGATCATCACGAATTTCCCGGAGTGGTGCCACGTTCTTTTCTGGGGCCTATTACAGTATCCTTTACGGCCTTACCATTCATGATAGGCATTAATTACCTGCAGCTCAATAAATTTTGTGCTCAATATGCAGGTAAATAGTAGTGTAATTTTAAAATATATAATTTTTTCATATATTTATATGTAATATAAAGATGATGGTGTTATTTTTCAGTAAGAGCAACATTAGGAATATTAGTGATAGCTACATTCAAGTTATATAGGCACACTTTGCAGAACATTTTTGGACTGCAGTTTACAAAATGGTTTATTGCAATAACTGTGACACAGTTTCATTTTATGTACTATCTCAGTCGTCCACTGCCAAATATAATGGCTCTGCCTTTAGGTAATAAAATAAACTTTGTTATAATTAGAGTTTATATATTTATGCATTATTTTAAAACTACAATATCTTTTTAATTAAAGAAATGTTAATTGTTGACATGTTGTTTAATTATTTTTTAATTTAAAAAATTTTTAATTGTTACAGTGTTATTAGCCTTGTCAGGATGGCTGAAGAAAAATTATGTACTATTTATCTGGTCATCAGCTGCAGCAATAATAATATTCAGAACAGAACTCGTCATACTCTTGGGATTGTTTCTGTTAATTTCTATAGTCAGCCAGAAAGTTTCTATACAAAGGTATTTACATATTATATCATTACTTAATATGGTAAAATTACAAACAAAAATGATTAGAATCAAGGAATTTTCTGCACAAATTTGTATGCTTGTTAATCTGTGTGTCAAATTAACTATCTCTGATTTTTATCGAGACAAGTTCAAGTTTTACAGTTTTGATTACAATTAGTTACAAATTTTACAGTTTTAATTACAATTAGTTAACTGTATATTATTAGAAAAAAATTTTTCTTTATATATAATAGGTAATGGTCTCCCTCCAAAATTATTTTGTTTATTACACAATGTTTTATAATAATTTTTAGACTGCTTAGAATCATGGTTCCAGCTGGTATATTGTTCTTAGTACTTACTGTTGCTGTAGATTCAATATTCTGGAAACGTTTAGTATGGCCAGAAGGCGAAGTATTTTATTTCAATACTATTCTTAATAAGAGCAGTGAATGGGGCGTATCCTTTTTACATATAATAAGTTTTTCTCTTAAAGATATTCAGCATTTTAAATGATTATCTTGAATGTCAAAAGAAATATCTATTTTTTATCTATTGAATCAAAGCATGAATTATAAGATAAAAATGTTCAAGATATCATAGATCTTCGAGTAGATATTTTTAACCGTTTGAAATATTAAAAGTTTTTGGATAGGTATTTTTAGTAAATAATTGAACTTGACTTATGAATAGACATCACCATTTTTATGGTACTTTTATTCAGCGTTGCCAAGAGGTCTAGCACTTTCATACATTTTAGTTCCTTTAGGGACGTTTTGGGACAGGAGAGTTTGTACATTTACTGTCCCAGCTATTATATTTGTCATATTATTATCATTTTTACCACACAAAGAACTGAGATTTATCATATATGTGTTTCCATTACTGAATGTTGGTGCAGCTGCTGCTTGTCATAGAATGTAAGTATATATTCTACTTTAATTATACATTTAGTTAATGTTCTATTGTTTGTCATAGAATGTAAATATATATTCTGCTTTAATTATATTTAATTAATTATCTTATCAGTTCTGTCAGTTTGTTGAAACGAAAATATCAAAATTCATCTTAACGATCTGTTTACTGATAGCGTTACTGATAGATTAAAATTTAATTTAAAATATTTAAACTTCTAAATTCTTATAGCTACATATAATATAAAAACTATTTCTTGTTGATAATTAGATGGGAAAATAGAGCAAAAACAACGTTGAATTATATTCTAGCAGGGCTAGTCATAACTCATATTGCATTAAATACTATATTCACCACATATATGCTATGTGTGTCTGGTTCTAATTATCCTGGAGGTCAAGCAATTGGTAGATTACATAGACTCGAAAAAAATTCGCTAGAGCCAGTACATGTACATATTGATGTATTGACTGCACAAACCGGAGTATCAAGATTTACACAGACCAATGATTCTTGGATGTAAGTTATCTTGCCTACAATATAATAATTTTAGCCTCATTATGATATTTTTGAAAAAAATTAATTAAAATTCAATTACAGATATTCAAAACAAGAGAACTTATCTTTCGACGATCCTGAAATGCTACAGTTTACTCATCTCTTGATTGAAGGGAAAAGCAAATATTCTCCAAATATAAAGCCTTATCTTAAAACTCACGATATTATTGATTCTATTGATGGATTCTCGCATATAACATTTAATTATAACATATTACCGCCTATTAGAATTAAAACAAAACCTAGCATATTTATTATGAAAAGAAAATTGAATATCAAATACGAACCTTATAAATCAAAATCTTCGATTTCTGCAAAGAATTCTTCAAAGCAAATGGATAATGTAGAAAATGTAGATGTCAACATGTCACACGAAGTAACAATAGAACCAGAATTTGATAATATTGTCAAGTCATCGGAAGAATTTGAAAAGCCAGAAGAAACTAGTGAACAAATGAATAACAATACTAAAGAAAAAGAAGAATTTCAGAATTTGGTAGATGATAATGCAACATCTATGGAAAATACTACTACATGGAAAATTGAAGATATAAATAAATTATCACCAAATTCAAAAGATAAAATAGAAAAAAATTCAGATTTTGAAAGTGTTTCTAGTAACCATGATGCCAAACTTGACGAAAACATAAAAACAAAGATTGAAGAGGGAAAGATTGTTAAAGGAAAACCTAAAAATAATTTAAATCTGCGCCAAGAAACTCAAAGTGGTACTAAAAAGATGGTTAAACAAATTATTCAGGAAAAGATACAAGAAGACAAACAAAAGCAAGCAGCAGAAGGGCCAAAGAAGACGAAAACATTAAAACAAGAAATAAAAAATCAAATCATTGCAGATGAATCAATTCAAGATCAAATTAAAATTGTAAATGAAAATACGAAAGATGATAAACAGAGATTTATTAATGCAAAAGACATTACACCAAAGACAGATAAAATCAAGATAGCAAAGCCAATTAATCTGGAGAAAATCGCGGAAAATGAAGATATAAATAAAGAAAAAATTGTGGATGTAATAAGAAAGAAGATTATAAAATCACAAGATAGTGTTCATACAGAATTACCTGTAATTGAGGAAGAAATTATAGAGGAAAAAGATAAAGAAGATATTAAAACATCAAAACTAATAAATGTAAGAGAACGTATAAAAAACATAATAAATCAATTTAAAGAAATTGAAAATGATTTTATACATGATAATATTGATTCAATGACATTAACAAATGATATAAGCCATGCAAATTATATTGAAAGTGATCTACATATAACAAAAACGGACAATAGTATTACAGATCATTCTATGAAAAATGAGGATCAAGTGATAGTAAAAGATGGTAGAGAAAGTTTCAAAGAAATATTTGAACAATTTAAGCACATTAAGGATGAATTAACTTCAGAGGAGGATGATCAGTTTGATGAAATTGAAGCGAAATATATGAAACAGCCAATTGCTGAAACATTATTGCAGTTTAGTGAAGCTTTGAAAGCTTTAATGCAGCGAAGAAGAAAGACTTTGCCCGAACAAACGACCGACTTGTATGATAATGAAGATGCAAACATCTCAGATGTTGAAAGATGATTATGTCAAGACATCGAAGAAAATTGAGGCAGTAAAAAATCACACAAGCAGCAACAAAGGATCATGTAAAGAAAACAAAATATCGAAAATGAAAAGAATGTCAAGGAATCAAGAGCTGTATAAATAAAATGGGAGGACAGATGAAATAATGCAATTGTAAATAGGCTAAAATAAGATCCTGTTATAATTTATTAATACAAAACATAATATAAAACAAGTACCTCGATATATTGAAAGTAAAAATCGTACTAAAAATGTTTTCTTTGCTTCTCGTAGTATCAATTTCTTATTTACATATTTCAAGTAATGTAAAATAAGATTAATAGTATAACAAAAAAAATTTATGGAAAAATCATGGAAAGCAATTAAATGGTCAGGTCAATTGAATATTGTTACAGAGTAACAATATTCAAAATTGACCTGGCCATTTAAATATTTATTAAAATAAGTTATTCTTACTTTTAAATAAGTAAGTAGTATTTACCAAGTAGCACTAATAATTTCGTTAAATGTTACTAGCGAAACAATTGTGTAATTAAGATACTGTAAATATGTTATCCTGTGATATAAAAAATGTTATAATTTTAAATGTATATTTATGAATATTTAGCTATGGAAAGCATTAAAATTTATATATTGTCTATATGAAATAATTTATATAATTAATTGCGACAATAATTTGGTGAAAAAGTGTTATATAACTTTTTGTATTATTTATTAGATTCCTATTATAAATATATAATTTTTATTTTTACTGCAACTATGCGCAAAATTATATTAAAAATATTTACAAAAAATATTAATTCATATATAGTAATCAAAACACATTCTGTCTCTCTTTTCATTTTCTCTTTTCATCATATTTTCTTGGCATTTTTAAGTGTACAGCTCTAATTTTTTGCAGGAGAAAAGGAAATTAAATGAGATGTTGCTCAGAAATAAAAAGAAAGAAAAGAAATACAACGGTATATTAATTGTATATAAATCGTAAATAATTATAAGATATATATATATATATATATATATAAATTCATAAGTATCCCTTTTCAGTTATCAGCTTTATTAATAATCAGAGCATTTATTATGTAGCCTAGAAAATAGAGATTGAAAATATAATTAATAGTTATCCTTCTGCCTCCTCTCTCCTCCACTTTACATACATATATATATATATATATATATATATATATATATATATATATATTGTATTTATGAAAACATCCGTACGGAAATGTTTGGTATATTTATTTATTTACTTATGCAAGTTGATTTATGAGATATTGATTAAAATAATAATCATGTGTTTAATTAATACATTATTAATTATATATGATTTTGAATTCTTTTTCAATAAACTATATTAACTATCCGAAAAGTTACAATCATTTATTAAACACTTTTTAAAGAGAAATATATATACATTCCAAACACACATGAAAAAATTATCTAACAATAAATTATATATACGCAACAAATAAATTCGTTACTCCCGACGAAATGAGCGAATCCCATTTCGTATACTGCTTATATTGTCTACTCTTTACTCATCTGTACGTATTGCTTACTGCCTATGTAGACGAGCCTTTAGAAATTATCAATAATAATTTTGATTATTACTCAAGATAATGACTTTGACATGGCACATCCCAAGATCAAATCAAAATCTTTTAAATGTATTATTATATACAGAAACACACACCTACACATATGTGTGTGTGTGTGTGGTGAAATATATTTTATAGGATATGTATAAGTGTGTGTGCAATGTTTTATGTAAACTGAAATTGTTTAATTTACAAATTCCGAAAACACTTCTATCAATATCTTAACATATTTATTTCACACGATATGCGCAATTAGAAAAAGAAGAATATGTTATTATAATATAAATACATGTAAGATTAAGATTTTCTCAAAAACTCCCTGATTGTATAGATCGATCCGATTGTATTACATAAAAGCATAATTAACGTAATGTTAAACAATATTTTATCGCGTATGCCGACCTTTAAATAAACAGGAAGACCGTCATCACACTGTGGAAATAAAAAAAAATATATATATATAATATACATATATTAATATGGAATATTTCTTAAATCAAACTTTTAAAATTATTTTGAATTATGTATACCTGCATCCTTGCTTGCTTCAATTTAAATTTCTGAAATGTTTTGCTGGTCTCCTTGTAGAAAGGGAGTAATTGATTTGTGTTGAATGATTTTTGTAATAATAGAGTTTTATAGAAACATATCTAAAATATGAATATAAAAATCTTTTAATTTCTTGAAATTTATTTTTTAAACACATATTTAATTAATGCAAAAAATGTTATACACTTGCGCTCTAACATTTTTTATTTTATAAATAATATTTTAAATGTGAATAACTTTTACGCAAAAAGAAATTTTAAAGAAATTTCTTTTAAATACAAATTTGAATAAAAAATGTAATTCTATTTTGAGTGAAGAAAAATTATTTTGAAAAACAATAAAATTTAAAGAGAAACTTTTACGTATTTAATAAATATTCGATATATATTTTTTTTCATTATATTATATATAAATATATATATATATATATCTCACTCTTCTTTTATAACACACATAAGATTTAAAAGAGATAGATTTCTTTATGGCAATATATATATAGTTTATAAAATGTTTCGAAACATTTATAACTTTTAATAATCCCGAATTGATGATAATAACCACAATAATTTAATATAACGTATCAAAAATAATTTAATTTCCAAAATTGTTATACCTTTTGTACATTTCTTACAAGCAGTATATTTGTAACTCTTGATACAATAATTCCGTTCATCATGATCGTGTTGTAAAATAAAATAAACTATCTTATTGTTTTATCAGTTGCTAAAGAAACCAATTTTTACGCAAACACATTAACAAATTAATCGATACATAATAGAAAATGTTCGACAAATGTGATTGTAATATTTTTTATCTGCATTGATATATTCCTAGATTGCATCTTGCCATAATATATTGTAAAAAAGAAAAACGCGTACAATAATTTCTTGTAAAAAAAAATTCAAATCAAATTGACGAATAACGCGCAAAATTTCCACACCTGTCACATTCGCGACAAAATTTGTCTGACACGCCGATTGGATATCGGCTAGAGAATTTTCTAGGGTTTTTTGCTACGGCAGCCAATCAACGCGTCCGATGAAATTTGTCGACACATGTAATAATCGCCTTAAAGCGCGTGCCGCTGACACGGTAGGAGTGACGTCACGAGAACACGAGTGGGAGGGATGGAGGCTGAAGAATGGTCTCTCGATGCGCATGCGCATTCGACGCGCGACGCAACAGTCATTAAATAAGAGCGTTTTGGTCGACGCTCCTCGCGTCTAGTCATCACGCCTACGGGATCGTCGGGGCTGTTTTGTGGGGTACGCGATCCCGCGATTTCGTCGCGCATATATTCGCGCGAGAGAGGATGTTCCTGACGCCGCGACGCGGCATCTCGTGATACGTACACACTCGGGGACACGCGTTGGCATGCGGTGACGTCATCCGGATCGTTCTAGAAGAATTTCCGCGAAACAAAAATGGCGGGTGCGTTGATCCATTTCCACGTCGACATTTGACGATGTCGCGACGCCACACCTCCCGATCATCATCGCGTACATTTCGATCTGCTTACATTTCAGATCTATACGCGAAGTACAACTGCACCTATTGCCAGGAGGACATTGCGGGCTTGCGTGTCAAGTGCATCGAGTGTCCCGAATTCGACCTTTGCCTGCAGGTGGGTCGAATATTCGAACCCTCATTTTCGATCACGTGACATCCTCTTTCTCCCTCTTGTGAGCCTATGCTAGCTTTTTTTCTCGTTTCCCTCGTCTTTTTTTTCATTTATTTCTCATTCATAGCTTTTTCATAGGTTTTGTTAAATGATATTTTTGATTTTATTTATATTTTGCACGTTTTCTTTTGTGTAATCTCCCATGTTTCTCTTCCCACACCGTTCGTTACCTTTCTATTCTATCGCAAATCTGAATGAAGCTACAAATCGATGGGATACACGTGGACGCGTTGGCGGATATTTTGGTTATGACGCCAACACAATTTTATTATTGTAATTCTTAAATAATATATAAGAATGAATAAAAGTTATTGGAGGTACGCAATTTATTGGTTTTTTTTTAATAGCTTATTAAGTGCAATTATATTTGAGATACTTGCAATTTACTTATATCTTATATTTTAGATTTGTATATTTAAAACTATTTTAAAATTTAAATTCTTAGTTTTATAATTGAAGTATATAAATAGATTTAAAAAAATTATATATTATGTGAATTGTTTATAGTGTTTTTCTGCTGGTGCTGAAATTGGCCAACACAAAAATAATCATGCCTATCAGTTTATGGTAAGTGCTATGAAGAAAATTTTTTTTATATTGCACTTAGAAGTCTTTAGCATTAATTTATGTATACATATATATTTGCTGTAGGATTCTGGTACAATTAGTATATTTAATGGACGTGGTAATTGGACAGCTAGAGAAGAAGTTAGGCTTCTGGATGCTATTGAACAATTTGGATTTGGAAATTGGGAAGATATCAGTAAACATATCGAAACACGCACACCAGATGGTAATTAATTAACTTTTCTGAATATTACATGGAAAATTTGATATAAAATTGATTTTTTTTTTTTACAAACTATCAATTTTTAAAAGAGAAACTGTTGTTACAGAGGCAAAGGAAGAATATATCGCTAGATATCTCAATGGTAATATCGGAAAGCATACTTGGCCATCTACAGAGAGCTATGAACCAAATCTTACGGATCAAACCAAATCTGATCATGGCCCACTGTCGCCTGATCTCACATCCAGATTACCACCATTAGATATCACTCCAGAAGAAGCCACACAATTGGGTTACATGCCTCAACGAGATGATTTTGAGAGGGTAATAATTAGTCTTAAGTCTTGATTAATTTTTGTTTAATATTGTATAATGATCATTTTTACTACAATTTCTCTAGGATTATAATCATGAGGCCGAATCTCTCGTTTCTTCGTTATTCCTAAATCCTGAGGAGCATGATGATCTTGACATCGCACTTAAATTAGCACAAGTTGATATGTACACCAATAATTTAAGAGAGCGAGCAAGGCGAAAACGTGTCGTAAGAGATTATCAACTTGTGTCGGCTTTCTTTGCATCATCCAGAAAAGACAAAGGAATAAAAAAGAAACATACAAAAGAAGAAAAGTACGGTTTATATAAATGTACTTTTTCTTTACGTTTCTCTCGAAATGCTTTGAAAAAAACATTTAATCTCTCTTTCGCTCGCTCAAAACGTATTAAGTAATCCGTTTATTCGATGCAGAGAATTTAGGGACAGAATGCGTGTATTCGCACAGTTTTACACAGCACAAGAGCACGAACAGTTCCTAACAAATCTCGAGAGGGAAAGAGAATTGCGCTTACGGCTTTCGGAGCTTTATCGATATCGTGAGAACGGCATAACAAGGCACGAAGAATGCGCTCATCTGGAACAGGTTCTCGCGCAAACCCAGAGACAAAACGACACAACGGATCATTGGATAGACAAAAAATCTGTAAGTATGAATTTCTACTCGCACAAAGCTTTCGTTTTATTACACAGAACAGGATAACTTTATCTCTTGTAATATACTTTTTTTATATTATTGAGTACACACATAATATTCGTAAAAGCTAGTAGAATTCTAAATATAAAAATATTACATCATATCTTACTATTCTTTTTTACTAAACGCATGTTAAAATTGGGTACATAATTAATGTATATATTATTGTGAAATACAATCTTCATGTGAAGATAAAAATTAACAGCTATATATTCTTTGCTTAGTATAAATCTATTCTATTATATTCCATTTTTGTATACGTTATTAGATACTTAAATATAATTGTTTATTATTTTGTATGAATTTTTATGTATAAATATTTAACTACTTGCATTTTCTATATTCTATATAAATGTTTGGATAACACATTTGTACTTATATAATAAAACAAATTATACAAATCCCATTTTTTTATTTTGTGTTATAAATATTTTATGTATATTTTGTATTTTTTAAGTTGATTTATATTGTACAACATAATAAAATATTTTTTTGTAATATGTAAATATATTTATTCACATTAAATCTGCAACAATATGTAAAAATAAATATTTATGAATGAATATTTTGACATGGCATACAATATAAATCAATATTTAATATTATATTTTGTTTCAAATTATAATTGAATAATTTCAAATTAGGATTCGTATAATGGCGCATGCAAAGTATAATATTATATTAAATTTAAATTCTTGTATATATACTATTATACAGGGTGAGTTTTTTTATCTCGAGACATCGAAATATCTCAAGAAATACGTCCTGGATGAACAAATTGTCTCAACAAAAATTTTGTATTTTCGAAGGGGAAAACTGATTCCGTAAAAATTAACTCCCCCACCCCAATCCCCGCGGGGGGGGGAGGGGGACTTTAAAATTTCAAATTTTTTTTTTCAAATTTCAAACAAGTGTTTCGAATAAAACTTGCGTATTTTTGTATGGAGAATCTGAATATGCCATAAAAAATCGGGGGTCCCATTTGAAATTTTAAAGTCCCCCTCCTTCACTCGCGGGGATTGGGGTGGGGGAGTTAATTTTTACGGGATCAGTTTTCCCCTTCGAAAATACAAAATTTTTGTTCGGACAATTTGTTCATCCAGGACGTATTTCTTGAGATATTTCGATGTCTCAAGATAAAAAACTCACCCTGTATATGTAAATTACTGCATTCTATATGTTGTGATGTGATAAAAGTAATACTTTATATACAAAGAAAATTATTTAAAACAAGTGCCATTATTTGGCACTCGTTCTTTTTGTACATTTATATGTACAATACAAATTTAACAAATCAGCCTTAACTATATTGTATATACTAGCTTTTGCTTCTTTCTTAACTAATTCTATTATTTGTGATGCGTGTTGCCAGGCATTTGTGAACAGATTGTATCAGTTTGCATTTCACTTAGGGCAGCAGTGGGCCGTTCACACCAATACACCGCAACACCTCAAAAAGAAGGTACGTTTATATTCGTGGATTAGATGTTATATCTTGTGCAGAATTTAGAAATATTTTTATATCACACATACATTCTTGTATTTTTTCATTATATTTATTTCAAATTTCTGTTTTCTCTATTGTTCCTGTTTAAATTATATACATTAAGAACAATGTTGCAATATCTTAGTTTATAATAAATTACTAAAATTCCAGACTTAATTATTTATACATATATCTCTGTCTTTTTATTTTTATAGAGAAGAAGAAAAAAGTTACTCTTTCATCGACCGAAAATACACTATAAAGCAAGACTTGCCCAGCAACTCCACAATCAATCAAACCAGTCACAATCGGACGATGATTCCAGCCAATCAGTGGGTGGAATCGGATAGCAATCCTACTTCCAGTCAATCAACTTGCAGCCCCAATTCTATGCAAGAAAAGAAAAATTACAGCACCGATACTGCTTGCACCCAAGAGCGAAACATAGAATTGGAGGCTGCATCTCATCTTTTAACACCACAAGAAAAGTCCTTGTGTATTCAACTTGACTTAGAACCGACTGCGTATTTAACGCAAAAAACAATGGTAATAGATGTAAGTATACGATGAAAACTAATTATAATATTTCTTAATACTGTTATCATGTTATTTGTTAATATTATTTCTTTAATATTGCAGGCATATTTGGAAAATAATAGGAGATTGAATGTTTTAACTCAATCAGAACGGCAAAGCAAAATTCTTCATTATTTGGTAACTAATGGCTTGATTGCAGCTAATTGATTAAACAAATAAAAATTTGCAACATTATATCATTCTAAGTCATCTTTAATCTTGCAAGCTAAGTCCTAGGTATAGGAATTTGAGTCTGATAATATGTAGGGCAGTTAAATAAATAAAAAAATGAGAAAGTAAGAAGAAATGCATGCATATATGTTGCTGCTAATTGTTTTGCATATGTGCTGTTGATACTTTTTTCACACAGTAATTTAAATATTTTTATGTAATACGCAGGTTTATTGGCATAGGATCGAATAGATAATCAGACGCAATCTACGTATTTAACGTCTATAATAATGCGTGTAGGACCGACTCTATAATGATATAAACTCATCAGTTTCTGATTTTTTTTTCAGATTGATTATATTACAGAGATAATAGATAATTTAGTCAATCATGATAAATTTTAACAAATTTTTAATAGATTCGGTCCATAAAATATTATATTTTACTTATCATTTTCAGAATTTTATGAATGCTATTTGAGGAAATCTCTAACACTGCCTATGTGTAGAGCCATGAACATGTTGCTCAATTAATTCTTCCATTTTATTATTTGTGCATATACAGATTATGCTCATGAACACTTTTATTTGTTCTAAATCTCAAGTATGGTAACAATTTTTTTAAATTACAAATAAAAGAATTTTTGAATCATTAAATAGATTTTATACAGTTACATACAAATTAAACAAGTATGCCTTGCATACAATTTGCAAGATATATAATGTATACTGTACAATAATATATTCTAATCACGCAGATTGTTGATTTATAAATTTACATATTACTTTAAAATTTTTTTGCAAAATAAGATTTTTTATTGCATTGTCTTGACTAATCCAATGCATATAGCAATATTTGAAAAATTCTTTTATTTGTGTAAAAGAAATTGTTATTCGACAATAAAGAAATATATCGAGATTACTAAAATATTTCTAATTTGGAAGTAATCATGATGCATAAAACATACCAAATGTGTTGAAAGCATTTTAAGACAGCGTAGTTGTATTTCACGAAAATATTTAGCTACTTAATTATTATTATTGTTATAATATTAGTATATTTGGTAAATTGTAATGTATATCACAAAATATTGCTATTCACATTGGATTAATTATAATTAATGATGTGATATCTAAAAAGACCTTGAAAACTTTTGTGACTTATATGACACACTGAACATCATTTAAGCTAACTGACATTAAAAGGTATCAAACAATTTTTCGTTTATGTAGAACGTGAAGATTGGAAATTAGAAACATTTTGTAATTTATATAACACATTGAGCATCATCCGGATTAACATTAGAGAATATCAAACAATTTTTTCATTTATTTGGAAAGTGAAGACTGGAAGTTAGAAATTCTTTGTGATTTATAAAATATCTTCTTATTTCACAAAAAGTTGAAATGATAAATTACTACATTGATTATTCCTATAATTTATATAATTAAAATATTCTAATTTTATGTGTCTTGTAAATTACATGCAGGGTATAGTTGTATAATCTGTAGTAATTATCTGTAGTATGTTCGACAATTGAAAAATTCTTTTACTTACGTTAAAAAAATTCCTTATCGACGAAGAATGGTACAAATAGTGTTACATATGCAACATCGATAATATGGAATGTATATTAGATAATTTATCTGTCGCTTTATGTGGCATTTGTACATATGATGAGAGACTTTTTTTTAGAGATAATGTAAAGCACAAAGAATTATACGATTCTGCAGCATATGGGGAATGCCATCGTTATTATTGATAAAATTTAAAACCAGACTTGCATTAGCAAAAAACATTTAAAAGAGATATTTAAAGTATTATTTCCCATCACTTTTGGTATGAAAATTAAAGTACGAATATATTATTTCATGAATAATTATTTCTTAATTGAGGATGTATACTAAATTTTACAATATGCAGGAAATCTGTCTGTCTTAATAAGAAATCATTCATCGAAACATTTCTTCTAAGCGATATATGTGGATATTCTTACATAAATCACATTAGGTTATTTTAATGTTTTAAAGATTTTGTCCGCTTTGTATAATAGTATCGATTAATTTTATAGTCTTTTTAACAAAATTAATTAATTGATTAAATTTCAAAATATTTATAAATAGTATTTTGCCGCATTTTATTAACATATATATATTATAATTATTAATAATCAATAATGTGTATAATTTATGTATATATTTCATTATTGATCGATATTATTATACTAAGCAAACATAGTTTGCTTTATTTGTAAAAATTTCTATGTATATACAAAGTGTCAAAAGTTCTTAGCATTGCAAAGCTGAGTCCACTTGTAGAAGAGTCTACAAAAGGCAGCATACATCTGTGATGTATCGTATATTGATTGGCAAAGTGTAAATACACATTTTTGTAAATGTATCTCACATGTCGTCTGCATCGAGTTTTACTTCAAACTCACCAAGGCGACTACAAAAACCATTTAAATAAGCACTTGAGTAAAACTTGATGCACTCTCTTTGTTCGTGAACATCTGCCATTTCAAATCGCAGTCGAAAATGCATGTAACAAAGAAACGCATTCACATCACTTTGCCAGCCGACACACGGATACCCTATAACACATACTGATGCATTGTAGATGAATGCTTCTTTTTTAGCGGCAGCTGCCAAAACTACAAACGTTTGAACGATGCAATGCCAGGAACTTTTGGAACCTCCATGTATATTTATTATCTCTGAAGATATACAAATTTTTCCATTTTCTATTACTCTGATGAGATATTATCATATAATTTTTGCATTTTATTTCTTCCTTGCTATCTGTAATAAATGATAATTATAAATATAAATATTATTATAAATATAAAAATAATATAAAAATATAAATAATATATATTATAATAATATAATATAATAATAAATGTTATAATGTAATATTTATAATATTATATTAGAATATAATATTATTTATATAAATATATATATATATATATTTATATATTATATATATAAAATATACATATATATTAATATTATTATAGATATTATATTATGATATATATTATTTTTATATTAATTTATATATATAATATAATCTATATATATATATATATATATTACTTATTATCATTATTAATTGTAAGATAATAAATATTATCTTAATATTATCTTACAAGAATTATTTTTATTTTTACATATATATTCGTATTTTCTTGTTTTATTGAATATTTATACAATTTCATTTCCATAATAGAACCTGATTCTGAGTGATTTTTATTGAGATATTTTAATATATATAAGCTATTGCGATTCTCTTATTTTGTGAAGCACGGGATTTAGCGTGAAAACATTTTTGAAAAATATGAAAAATGTGCTTTTATGTTACTTACTTTTAAAATATAATAGTAAAAATAGGAATCGTAGCTTTTACGATAATATTTTAACTATATATATTTAATCTTATTTATAGCAATCCTCTTCGAAATTCTAACGCTTATTAAACCTATGTATATAAGTCTAAATATATGATAAAGTGTCTAGGTTCTAATGTGCTGTAGATGTAAAAAAGAGCCTATATATATTGTACATAATGATACACATGAAGAGAGACCTACTCAGGTTTAAATAGATAAATTCTATCAAGATTTTTCGTCGAGGAAAGCATTCACACGTATGATAAGGGCTATGCAAACAGCATCCGTATTTTGTATAAATAATAAACAAATACCTCCTTTTACTTGTCCGACTATACTTGGCGATGCATAGTTATATAATTGTATTAATGACGACTTCCCTCTCATAAGCATACATATAATCGAGATCAATGATTAAGAATCTCGAATACGTGTATAAGAATGTCTATATATTTTAGCCCTACAACGTGCATCAATACATCGAAATTTCAAAATAATTGTAGTTGGATAAAGAAAAGAACATGGATAAGTAAATCTCCACAGTCACAATAATTCATCTATATGACATTTGACACGCGTGTTATGCTAAACGCATTATTTTCTCAAAATAGAACAACAATTCTGCAACATTACAGATTTTAATGTACATGGATATTCGTCAATTGTGCGAAATAAATTGTGCGATATTTTCGTTTAAAAAACGTATACGATTTGTTTATGATACACTATACCTTTTTTTTTTAAATTCATTTACTTAATATTGATTGCAACAATAGAATTATATAAGGCGAAAAATTTTATGCAAAATATAATTACTTGAGCAATTATTTTACAATTTGTTTACTCCTAAAGGTAAGAATAATTTATGGACTAGTCAATCATGATTCTATATTATAAGATTGTTTTTTTGTTAATTATCTAATATTTTTCAATACTAACTTGTTATGTCATCCTACGTTCTAAATTATTATGCTTCTGCGTAAAATAATTTTTTTGTTTTACTTATTATTCGTAGTTACAGCAACAAATAGATAAAAAGATAATAATTTTCCGAGATTTTTATCTGTTAAAAAATGTGGAACGAATAGTTTCTATTCTACTTAAATTCTCATATATATCAAAGTATGTATTTGCATATATGCAAATGAAACACAGAAAAAAAGGAATCCTTGATTCAAGTATATTTTTATTCTTGAACGCTATTTGATTGATTTAAGCATAGAATGCTCTTTGTAATCACAAATTTTCATTTGCCTTAATAATAAATAAGTTTGTGTAAAGTATATTTTATCTTTAAGATATATTCTTGTTTAAAAATTGCATATGGTAAAAACAAACTTAGTCACATTTGAACTAAGAATTATTATATATACTTGAAAGTACCGCTTATATCCGATGCTCACTTGTCACTTGTCCTTGCAATATTTATAAGTAAATTTCAGCTTCAACCAAGAATATTTTGCACTTTGTTTTAAGGATAAATTATCCTTTATTCAAAATTATTTATATTTGGTGCTATTATAAGGATAAAATATACTTGAATCAAGGCATATTTGCATTCTTTCAAAGATACTGTTTTTTCTGTGAAGAAATTCTAAGAAATAATTAATGAAATATGCATAAGCGCATTTCCTTTTCTAAGAACAATTAAAAATCAATAACGAAATGTTTTAAAACACAGACTGATACAAAATTATTAAAATCATTAAAAATGTAATCAAATTTAAAAATTCCGAAAAAAAGCTATCTCTCTCCCTGTCTTTTCTGATACACTTGAATCGCAGATTTCGAATTAATATGAATTGGAAATCACGAAAAAGAAACAATGAGTAGGTTTTTCCACCCAAGAAACATAGCTAATTAATAGCAACACTGGTTTTATGAATCATTATTTGTCATTGAACTCTCCATCTCAAGTATGGGAGAAGGAAAATGAAGACCGCAACTAATTAAAGACGGCGTGGTTTTCCACAGCAGGTGCGAAGGTGAAGCGAGCCGATGACGAAATGGAATTTAGTAGAATAAATCAGTATCGTTTTCCTCCACTCGCGACTATGCAACGTATATAAAGTCAAGTGACGGGAATATATCCGTACACAATTACATCCGATTGAGAGTAATATACGTCTTAGGTGAGCATTTATTGCACAATCGCACCGCGACGTTCTACGCACGAACAACTGTCAAATTTTCAACTTTTGGATTTTTTATTACAAAAAATATCGTGGAATGTGTGTGTGTATATTGATGAATATATTAGAATAATTTTCTGTTAACAAAACGAAGAGGTACCGCATCTTAGAAGAAAAAAGGATTATTTTACTTCTTTCAACACACATTATTGTGCCAGGAAGTTCTAGAATACTTCTAAAATGACCTCGTATTTGAAAAATTACTTTTCTAAGTTCAGAGATTCCTTACTGCATAATTGCGTCCAATTTAGTTACAAATATCACATAATCATATATCTATAACTATGTTTCCAAGCAATTTCATCCAATTCATTGTGCATTGCATTATGCATATTACATCGAATATTTATATCGAATCAATATAATTGTCACATTTATGTTCTCTCTCGGAATAACTCAGAATAAAATTCAATTTTTTTAATTGAAAAACACCTAAATACATCTCATTGACATTCGGAAAATGTTTTAAAAGAAAATGTGTAAATAAATGTTAATTAAATTACAAAACTTTTAATAAAAAAATAATTTTTCTCGTAATTTTAATTAAAAATTACTTCCTCTTTTAATTTGCTCAAGGACAAATACTGTAATAAACTAAAAAAAAAATATATATATATATATGTAGTGATGATACATGCTTGTCTACATGTGCATTAATTATAAACATTTTACACAATTATTTTTTATATATTTCTTCCGAGAGAGACCTGAATTGGGGTGCAATATATGTGCACAGATAATTTTTATATATCCCGATGTCACAACTAATATACAATATTTTTCTAGCTCAAACTTTTGTCGAATAGACATTTGATTAGATACGTATCTAAACTTTTTTACAGCCATGAAATTTACAGTGGTGTATCTGTTCGCTGTTAGCGCTATTGTCTATGTGTACGGACGGCCGCAAGATCATTACACAGATAAATATGACAATATAGATGTAGATAAGATTCTAAATAATGATCGATTATTGAAGCGATACATCGACTGCATATTGGACAAGGTAGATATCGGATGCCCTCCTGAAACTCTTGAAATAAAGAGTGAGTATTCTGCATCTATTATGCATGAAAACTGCAATTATACCGAAAGAATCATACCAAGCAAAATTATATAATGTATATATAGCGTGCCAATAAAACAATTTATCCATTTCATTGAATTAAATTCAATTATCAATGCAAATTATATTAGTTTGCTCAATAACACTCCGAATTTTAAAATTAAAATGCATATATGGAAAAACAACGTCCTTAAATTATAATAACTCTTTTTAAAAATTTATCTTATCTAAAAAGAGTATAGAAGAATCTAGAAATAACAAATTTAATAATATTGTCACTTGGCAACATTAAGTAAATACAAATTACAATCCATTTACTTTGCTATTTTGAAATAAAAGACCTTATATTTCTTAAAGAAGCACAGACTTTTAACTTGTAATGTAAGATATGTTTGATTATATGTTTAATATTATTGTTAAATTAATAATAATCATTGAATTATTGTTGCACAGAAAACTTATCTGAAGCACTACGCACTGATTGTGAAAAGTGTACAAATCAACAGATAAAACTTGTGGATAAGACGATACAGTTTCTAATACTTAACAAAAGAAGTATGTGGGACGAAGTGATAGCTAAATACGATCCGGAAAGAATATATGCGCCGAAGTTTGAAGATAAGGCTTTGAACAAACAGAGTTAGAACTGATCAAAATTCAAGGAAGAAAAAATGTAGAAATATGTATATATATATATATATATATATATGTAATATTAATTGCTTTTAATGCCCTTCGGGCGGCAACTTGACCTAATTACTATGTAACATGCGTATTCTCACGGCATGCAAATAAAAAATATACGTCATAATATATATACAGTTATACATGATTCCGTGAGTCATTCCATCGCAGAATTCTCCTTGCGTTCTTTACATTTGAATCTTGATCGTCCGTCTTTACACAGTGGAAAATTTTAATGTAAAAATTCCCGCAAAAAAATTCTTCGAAGAAACTGATTTCGTCATTAAAAGCAGTAGAAAAATGCTTGCAAATTAGTTTTTTATTATCGACAAATCTCTCAAGCATTGATTAACTATTCTATTATACAGTCGTTTTACAAATATATACTATTAGACAATTTTAAAAATTTAATATATATCTCCATTACAAAACTACTTGATTACTGTTCGTTTTTACATTAAAGTCTCTTTCATATGTATATGAAGTAATATCAATTTAATCGTATCTCACAAGATTAATTACTAATAGAAATATTTGTCTAAAGCTGTCAATAAATATCCCAATATCTATTTACAAAAAAATATCAAGTGCGCAAAGCGCGTTCGTGAAATTATATTAATTCCTATCTAAATTAATATTTTATCATCTTAAAGTCATTTGATCGTCCGTCATATATTCGTCGTCTGTCGTCTCGCCGATGTCAGCGCAGGCATAGCACAGCTCACCAATGTCTTTCCAGCATTCGGAGCAATGGACGAAAGGACACCCTGGTGTCGTGCATTTGCGATATTGCGGACCTTTCCTCGGTTCCGCTTCGCCGCAGACGAGACATTTGAGACGCGCCCGGGCGAATAATGCCAGCCAACCGCAGAGCATTGGCCAACGCAGCCTCAGAGCGATCCACAGGTCCATGTCGTATTCCAGCCGACGAGTTCTAACTAAAGCTCTGATCTTGGCCCGCATAAATCTGCCATCGCAGAAATTAATAAATGTTCAAAGATGTGACCCTTAAATACTTGTTTCTTACGAAAAATGTTGGATTATTCGATTGGATTTCTCATTCAGGAATTTCGTTGCTCGAAACAAGAGAAAATTCGGAGTCTGCACCGAATCGCTCACAAAGATACGGATTTTTACCTGGCGTGTCCGAGCCTGCGTCTCAGGCTCTCGTTATAGAGGTACAGCACGCGCCTCTTTTCGCGTTTCCTGTAGAAAAACGAGCAGATCACGCGTCGCAATCGTTGCGTGTAAGCAGCGGTGAACAATAACAGCCAAACGCCAAGATAGGTCGAATAGATCTTGAGGATCATGCGATCCGGTACTCTGCTAGGCCTTGGTAAACACGCGTTGTTGGACACCACTGTCTTCACTCGTTTCTTCACGTTGAATCCGCGAATGATACTACGTATTAGGGAGGCTATTATTCCGATTCCGCGAACTTCAAAACCATATCATGATGACCCGCCTAGGAGAAATTAAAATTAAAGTTAAATCAGAACAAAAAAAGATGAAGTATAAATTACATTATGTAACACACTTGGAAAGATCTAAAATGTTTCTTTTTATCTATTTTGCATATCATTATCATTATCTCTGATGGTTCACATTACTGTAGCCTTCTATGATATCGGAAGAGAAAAATCATACGAATTTTTTATTCTGCATATCAAAATAGATTAATTAAGATTTGTTTCATATAAATTCTGCAGATAAAGAAAAACAATAGAGTAGAATTTGTGATAGACATGCTCTATCACAAGTTCTACAAAAAATCTCTAGATTGAATTTGAAAAATATATCTAAAACGACGAGAATGATTAAACTTTGTAAATCATTTACCTGAGTATATTCCATATAAGCGTGTCTCCTGACCAAATCGAGCATCTCGAAGAAAAGCCTATCGAGCAATATAAACGTCGTCACGCTGATCATCTCGAGGATCAACTTCACCATTTGACCGGTCAGATGCACTCGCTCGATCTTGCTCGGCCGCAGGCTGTATGGGTCCACGAATTTTGATCTTTCAATCTTCTTCAAGGGCAGCAAAGTTAAGCTGCCGCGAGCCTTCCGTCTCGCGTCAATTTTTCGAAAGTATGAAGTCACATATACGTTATCGTACTCGATCTCGTTGATATATTTGTCGTGATATATCTGGGCGTTTATGATGATTCTCAAGAAAACGAAGGACAGGCATCTAAATAAAATATTTATTTTTATTGTTTGTCTTGGACTTGAAAGATATTTTGTCCCTGCATAAATGCATTTTGTCAAAAACAATTTTGTACAATTAAAGAAATTTTGATACATTTCCGTTAAAAAAGGATAAATTATTATTTAAAAAATGATCTTCGTTAACTCAGGCAATTTTTTTCGTTATTTTGCTATATACCTTTTGATAATCATCATCACGGATTCCAAAATCTTCCTACGTGAGTTGAATTCATGCATCACGCCCTGGGCAAAATCCGTGGCGTCATGAAGATCAAGAATCACCGGCATTTTCTTTACTTTGTACTGGAATTTTGCCTCCTTGAGACTCTTGCTGAATGTATCCCTGGCTCCTTCGAAGAGAGCAGATATTGTTTTGCAAAAGAAATCTCGCGGGGAAAAATGTTACAAGAGGAAATGCCTTATGTATAATTGCTAAATTCTTATATTAATACACAATTGAATGACATTTATTCACTTTTTAGAGCAACATAGCCCTCGCCGATGCCCGAGTCTATGTTCCCCTCGGGATCGCAGATATTGACTCCACCGAGTGCCTGCACCAGGTTGCACACGAAGGTGAGCTTCATCGGCCAACACAGCAGCCAGGCCGCGAAGACCGTCACCGCGTCGTAACACTTATCATAAGCGTCACCGAACATGTCCCTAAAAATTGCATGTTAACTTCCATACTTCAAGTTAATACAAAAAAAAAACAGAAAAAGCATTTTATTCGAAACAATATAAAACAATACTCGATTTGCACGCGATATGAGAAAAATGACGTAATATTTCTACCGCGGATAATTACATATATTATGAAGATTCAAATAGATGTATGGTCATCCTTGTAATTCGAAATAATTTTTCTTGAAAATTACACAACAGATTAAAAAAAAATCTACTATTGTATTTTCCTTCAATCAATTTTCATGATTACATCGCTGATATTGTATACTCTAGTATTAGTAAATATTATTTATGAAATCTACGCAGAATTGTCAATTCTTTGAAATTTAAATTACAGATATAAAGGCTTGAACTTTGGCTGAAATTTCTCTCAATATTAGCTATAATAATCTTGTGTACAAGAAGAGAAACCTATATGTAATAATATGTAATTGTAAATTCTTTGAAATTTAAACTAAATACACGGAGATTTCTCGAATATTTTGACTGAAGTTTGTCTGGATGTTATTCAGATTAATTCTAAGAGAAGAGAAGAATGGCCTGCCTGCATCGCTCGGCACCGCGGCTAAGCTGCTCTTCGCAACGCGCCTGGATTTTCTTCTTGTACTTCGCTTCGTAAATATCCGCCTCAGACTTTGCCTTGGCGATCTCTTTCTCATGTTTCTCCTCGATCTCGTCGCTTCGCTTTGTATCGTCCTGAAGTTCGTCCAGATAGTCGTTCTCCTCTTTCAATCTCTTCATCTCCTCTTCGCCTTCGATTTCCTCGACTATCGGACTCATCAAATCCCTTACCGAGGATAAAGTATCTTTCAATTCGCTCGCATCCGCTTTCATGGCGAGCACTGCCTATAAATTATTAAACGTGTAATTACTTTTGCACAGAAGTGTCGTTTGCGTATAAACAATAATCTTTTAAATTGAATTGCGCTTATTATATCGTATTATTTTAATAACCGGATGTACATATAATATTTACCTGTTGAAAAGGCTTAAACATAAGATCAAAACGCGTTTGGGTGAGATTATACGTCAATTGCGTCGTACAAGCAAAAGTTCTGACCACTTCTTTGCCGTTGTATATTAAATTAAATATCGGTCCAGCGATTATGTATCCTAAGACGAACGCCCTCAAAACGTTACGACCGGATCGACCGAGGAAGGTCGGGATTGTCAACAGACAAATACATCTCACCTATTCGTAGCCAGCAAAATGTATTATTAAGCATTTCATATGTCTATATCTATATTACATTGTAAATGCAGATTCCTTCAAGTTATTTATTTTCGATGGAAATGTCAAAAGATATTATTTAAACAAATCATATATAAATTGCTTATTATTTACCACAATTAATATCAGTATTAAAAGACAATATAAACGAATAAGTTTATTTATATACAATTTCAGCTGATGATAAAGATACATAATACGAGATCAACTTAAATTATTGTTAGTAACACGATTTTGAATTTTTGAGAAGAAAAATATCTCTTGTAAGACGAGAAGTTCTGCGTCTCGATAAGATCAAAGTAAGAAGATATGAGAAAATATCTTCGCGAGAACGTAAAATCTAATGAAATAAAAAAAAGAGATTACCTGTATCGATGACGCACATCCTATTGATAACATCACAGCGAGAATGATTCCCAGAGAGATACTGGTATACGCGTCAAATTGTAGATCGACGATTATGCCCTCGTATAGCGCGACAGCTGCGAGAAATCCGAAAAGAAATCCGATGAAGGCTCTGGCTTTTCGATGAGTGCCGATCGGATCGTAGCAAATGTGAAAGAGGGTCGGGCATTTTTTCAGATAATATTTCAGGAAATCCCTTCGCGTTCCTTCGATCAGCCGGCCGCAGCGATTAATCCGTTCCAAGCCGGGCATTTCCTCTCCTTTTGCGAAATTGAAAATCCTTGTTGATAAGCTACTTTGTAGCGGATTATAAAATGCGAAACTTTCGAGTTTGATCTCTGAAATGAGACAAATATCGAATATAAGCAGAGTCGATTTTATAGTTGCGAATTTTCTAAGTTGAGATCATCATCTGTCATTAATTATCAATCGTTATACATCCGATAATTTAAAATTTTCATCAAAACATTAATGAAAGAAAAGGATAAAGATGTTAAAGAGTAAAAATTACTCACAAAAGATCGTGAATTCTCTATATTAGAATTAAAAAGATATTTGACAGTAACATGTAATTATATATTGTGTTGGTTAATATCGCGTACATATTGAATAATTTGATGAATATAACAGATTAAAACTTCACTCTGTTAGATGATATAATGATTATTCCATCCGTAGATTGCGTAATTCAAAAATATATATAGTTATTGCTGCAGAGATCCTAATAGGAATTATGTAAGCTGATTTATCATCAACATTTGTAATAGATGATATATGACGATGAATATGGCATTATAATTATACAAACCGTTTATAGCAAGGACGAAATGCATCGACGAAGAATTTAAATTTACGAGTTAAAGAAATCTTTTTACGGAAATAGATAACGAGGGAAACAGTCATATCCTTTGCGCAAGTTCTAGCCTATCTAAAAGTCGAGGTCGCGTAATACATCGCCTAAGGAATACTACTGAAAAGAATCAAAATACGAGAATTCTTTTCATGTAAGACGCAATTTCTTTGCTCGTTATGCAGTTTACTTACTTATACATATGTACATATGTTTTTGCACTTGACACGGATGGAATAATCATTATATCATCTAACAGAGTGGAGTTTTAATCTGTTATATTCATCAAATTATTCAATATGTACGCGATATTAACCAACACAATATATAATTACATGTTACTGTCAAATATCTTTTTAATTCTAATATAGAGAATATTTTTCTCTAAATATGTTAAATCTTTTTATAGTACGTTTAACGATAATTTATATAGAAAATTGCTGATGCAAAAATAAAAAATAATTATGTACATTTACAATTAGATAATATATACAAAAGTCTGTAATATAAACAGTGATGGGTAAGATATATTCAAAATGTATATCTCGATACAGATACAGATAAACAAATTATACAGATACTCAAATACTTTAATACTAAATAATTAATAACTAAAAGTATCTCAGATACAGATACTTTTAAATTATATTTTATCATAATAATGGTAATATGCACAAAATATACTGAATGATTTCTTTATCTTTATTAATTATTTTATTGTATATTATTCGACTTTATTCGTTAGTCTTAACACGCGAAAAATACCTCAAAGATATCGTCACTCAAACTATTTCGCCATGGTACTAAAATTTGACCAATGCTTAATAATAGCTCAACCGGTGTTGATGACAATATGTTGATAACTTGCAGTTCTTGATCTTTTAAAAATTTAAAGAATTGGGCTACCAAAAAAATGAAAATGTATCTGTAAATGTATCTGAAAAAAGCAATTCAGATATCATGTTTTATATCTAGCTATATATAGATACTTCAATTTTAATATATCTTAGATACAGACTCAGATACACAAAGTGTATCTAGATACTACCCAACACTGAATATAAAATATATAAAATTTTTAATATTATCTAGATACAATAATGAAACAAATCTAATTATATTAGTAATCCATGAAAAAAGATTTTAAAAGATTTGAGCATGGAAATTTTTACGTTCAGAGTACAAAAGTCTGCTCGACACAGGAAGCAACTATGTCGCGCGTATTTTTCTCGATAAATTATGGCAAGGATACACGAGGATGATTTCGTGCGACTAACGAACCGTGTCCAAGTCTTCCTTATAAGACATTGGAACTAATGGGATTCCGTGAGCAGTGAATCGGGAGCATCGCATCAATCTGGTTCACCACGATGAGGCATCTAGTCGTCGCTCTTATCACCACGTGCACCCTTTCGTTCATCGTTGTTCTCGCAGATGAGGTGCAGTATACGACGAAATACGACAATATAGATGTGGACGCGGTGATAAATAGCGATAGGCTGTTGAACGGATACGTGGGTTGTCTGCTCGATCGGACTCCCTGCACCCCAGATGCGGCGGAACTGAAAAGTGAGTAAGATTTTAGCAAAGCTCCAAAAAGTGTTTTGTGTGTGGATAATGTATTTTTATAATCTTCTATAAATTTGCTTCTATAATCCTTTAAATTGCGAATAATCGAAGCGTTTTTAATATTCTTGGAATAGATATCTTTACACTCTAAATATGTAGAAATTTTCATATTCTTTTTTTCGCAAACTTAGTAAAATATACATATACAGTTATTTTATATTTCTTTCAAACTATTCTAGATTTCATTATTGTAAATAATATATTATATAAGTTTTATATTATATATAGACTTTGTATGTATTAGAAAAAGAACGCGGATAATTATTTTTTATTCTTTTTATCGTAATGATTACCGTTAAATTTAATATATATACAGAAAAACTTGATATATTTAGAAAAATATTTCTTATAAAAAAAGTAAATTAATGTATAAAAAATGTTAAAAAAAGAGAGCGAGATGTTAAATAATAAAATGCAATAATTGCATTACATAATATGCATATTTCTCAAAGAAAATTTACCGGACGCGTTGGAGCATGACTGCGCCGGATGCAGCGAAATACAAAAGAACGCAGCAGACAAGATTTCTCATCATTTGATCGATAATAAACCGGACGATTGGAAACTTTTGGAGGACAAATATGACCCTACCGGGGCATATCGACGGCGTTACTTGGAGAACAAGTCTAAAGAAAACAGCAGAGTGGATTGAAATTGTTTCCTCACGTCGTAAGGACTGCGATTTTGGATTTTTAATGCCAACCACGGCTATCCTCTGGACTTAATTGCTTATTGTAATCCTTGTCACACGGCGATTTCATTTTACATAACGCAGAAGATCCAATCTTTCGCGTAATCTTTCCTCGTCCTTCAGCATAAAAGTTCTTCTATATATAACATAAAACAAAAAATGATTAAAAAAATAATAACCGGTATTTACATTGAATAACATTTTTTCTTACATTAATGCGTGCACATTTTTTTATTTAGGTTTATGCTATTAAAACGCTGCAAGTTTATATAAATGTTATGTTTCTGTAAAATGTTCGAGGTTGAATAACAAATTGTATACTACTTTATAACAATAATCCTCTATAATACTTTATAAAAAGACGAAAAGAATCGTTTTACAAATAATTACGTTAAAAAATGCATATATAAATAATTTATTAAAAAATGTATCATTTTATATCTTCGATATATTGACATATTGAATATATGGGCAAGGATTTCGCCAATGTTTTTCATATGGAAATTATTTATATAATTCATAAAATATATAGTAGTATTATTAGAACATCGCAATATAAAAAAATTATGCTTATTAGTGCCTTATTATTATTATTAGTAATGCATAATCAAATAATTTGTTATAATTGATTTCCTGTATAATTCTGCACATATATTATAGAGATAATTATAAAGAGCAATAATAGAGCATAATAAAAAAATTCTTGCGTGATGAAAAAGAAAAAAAATGTTCCGTTATTGGAATATATATACATATATATATTATAATAAATAAAAAAAGAAAAACATTGTATTGTGTATTAAATATATATATACATACATATAATTAATAATTATATATAAATTTGTAATATTATTTGTTATTTTACGCGATTCGTTTTCTCTCTCCATTTTTTGTTCACGATTTTACTTTCTTAAAAAAAAAAAAAAAAAAAAAAAAAAAGTTTGTGTTTATTATATTTCGTATTAAAATAATTACTTTTTTTTATTAAGTGTAATAGAATCACAGACTCCTATATAGAATATGTATACTTACTCGATATACATTAATAAATAGCTGTCATTAACCTCATCTGATGAGAATATAATAATAATGTACAATAATATTGCATGTCACTTCTTTATCGACAGTTGCACAACGAGTACTGACATCCACCAGTAGATTGCGCTTCACAATTATATTTTGGTTGACGAGAAAATTGTATCCTTTATTCTTTGAATGGCTTTTCGCCCTCTCGCTCTTGTATGCATAAAGATAGGAAGTCTAATCGTGCTGGATACGATAAACTGAAAGAAAAAAGATATCAAACACACATATCTTTCTTTCAAAAATAGAAAAGGCAAAGCTCTGAGCAAACGTTTTTGCATAACCTACACTTTTTAGAAAAGAAGCTATATATATATGAAGTTTCCGTCAAGTAATTATTTTCTCTTCGAATACTCACCATCGTGTCTGCGGTACAAATTACAAATTGAAGGTAATCTAATCGCTTTCTACATATATATGTATATATATATATATATTTATTACCATATGACTTGCGAAAAACCGCGAATCACAAAAGTCGAGCGAGGGAGACGCTCTGCAATTGACAGTTGGCATCCCTTCATGTCGCGAGCCGAGTGAACAGGCGAAGCTGCGATCGACGAATCAGGCATCGGCGTGAAGTTGCACATTAGTTCAAATTTTTCACAGGATTTATCAAGTAACGGAATATGGCGGATGTGCTGTGCTCGCGAACGGTCGTCCGTTTATCTCCGCGATTTGCGACGTGTATCGCGCGAATATGAATATATAAGTGTCGGGAAGTGTCGTGACATATCAGGCGATTATCGGTATCGCGTTAATTCCGCTCTGTGAAGAAATGACAAGGAGCAGAGAGAGAGAGTGTGGGAAGGAGGAAGAGGACACAGATCGTTCGACAGTTAATCCGTATTTCGCCCGATCGTAATTAGTGTCGTTGTGTGTGTGTGTGTTACGTGACTGTCAAAATATGAGTGAGTGCATAGCGAGTTGAAGAAATGAAGGAGTCAACGACGACGTGGTCCAAGTCGTTCGTTGGAAAAGGACGGCGTCGTGTAGCTCCATCTTCGTCGCTCCAACGGATGTCTTCCACCGCAGATGCAGATTGAAGGTATGTATTTATTTATTTTTTTATATATTTATTTTTTCTCTTCAATTGACTTCACGAAACATGTACTTCTTGTCATAATTATAATGTCGTACACGTTATTTACACGCTATTCGAGATAATGATTATCGCAATAATAATTTTCCTCGTAATGAATTATAGGTATATCACTGCGTAATTAGTACTGTAAGAGAGATCTGGGTCAGAACAATCGTGGCCTGCTGGAGGGATTCGTAGGATGACGTTGCGCTAAAGCGGGGTTATGCTTAATCGTTCGGAAAAGACTTCCTCGTGCTACCAACAGAAACGCGATATGAAGGACGACGGAGGAGATTCTGTCGAGCGATCCTTTCTAGTATACATAGTCTCGGATTACCCAAAATATCTCATAGCTCAGATGTTCGACGTTTTTAACGCGGGTGGTCATCATACTAGGACAAGAACCCTTCGCGAGATTCTCGGAAACTCGAGATCCGAGGAAAAAAAGAAGGGTCATAGTAATAAACCCGTGGTCCTATTCGAGAGTCATGAAGGAAACACGTGTGTGGGATTTAAATTGTTCCCGGAGGAGGGAAAAGAAGCGGAAGAAAAATATATCAAAGTCTCTCGAAGGTGCATATAATTTATTAGAGCTTTTCTGAACGACCTTCGTTTTGCAGGGAGACCGAATCGAGGGAAGCGACTCGACGATTACTCGGAAATTACACCCCAATCTTTTCTCTGCGGTCCGGAGCAACGTCACCCTGCGAAAGCTCTCGAAAATGATCTGGATCTGGAGAGAAAGAGAGAGAGAAAAGGAGAGCGAGCAGCAGCGATTTGATCCACTGTATACACGTGTCGCGCGTGCACGTACACATTTATCATGCACGCACACATACGACGTACACGTATGTCCGTGTGCTCGAGAAAGAGAGAGGAGCCTGCACACCTTCCCGCACGGTAACAGGCAGGCTATCGTGGTTATTAAGGAAACAGACGAAGGAACGAAACGAAGGAACAAGCGCGTTGGGTGGTCTCGCCCCGCTGTTTATGGGGCACTGCATCTGCTGGCCCCGTATAACCCTCCGCGAGCGAACGCGACCTGTGTGGTCCCACCTTACGTCCGACTTTACATTCGATTCACTACTTGCTAATGGTAGCCGCATTAGCATTAGGTTGCCCGCCTGTCTCTCTCTCTCTCTCTTTCTCTTTCTCTCCACGTGATATGCCGCGACGAAACGAAACCTGCTGTTGTGCAATTTTTCGTCGCCGGCGACGAGTACCGAGGCCGGCCGCTCCGCTTGCGCGAGATCGAGATCGAAATCGAGATCGGAATCGAGGTCGGATGGCCGCCTGTCCGGTAGTCTTTGGTATTCGCGGAGCGTGCGTCCTCGTGTTATTCGCGCGTACCACGTGCCGTGGATATTCGGCAAATTTCAGAGCGGGCGAGCGAGCACGAACAGCGTGAGAAATATTTGTCAAATAAAATCGAGAGCGCGCGAGATCTCAAATTAACTTCTTTTTTTCTTTTATTGGATAATAATTATTTTTTAAATATGTTTACATGAAATTAATTTTTCGATCCTCTAACAAGAAAATTCTTCAATCTCCTTGAAAAAAAGTCGGTAATACGAATCGTTAACTTGTCGTCCAAATGTTTAAAAGCTCCCTTAATTAATGACAATTATATGGCTCTTTAGTGCAGAATCGCATGTGGACGGGAATCTTCTCGTCCCAATATCTTCATTCATTCGAAGAATGCAAACGAGCGTTTTAAGCTGGGTTTCGCATCACGTGTACGTGTGTATGTGTGTGTGTGTGTATGTCCTGTGTAAAGCCGTGGATGCGTGCAGCGTAGCTTGGTGAACGAGGTCCCCGATATGAGCGTGTTAGCGATTGGTCACGGGTGTGGGTGCGCCATATGCGCGACCGTTTCACAAGCAGGCTACCTGTCTTTAGGGTCGTAACGCCGGATCGGGTTTTGACGATAATGATTTCGAGAATCGAGCACCCTCGTTAAACGAACAGTCGGACGAATCGGGATTCGTATATAATACACTGCCACGCTAAGGTCTAAAAAGAATGTGCGCTTAAGACGGACAGAGGGGACGAATGTTGGCATAACTTTCATTTAATACATGGATATTTTTATTCTTTTTCTAAATAAATATTATACTTTTTCTATAAGTATTATCAGATATCTTTTACTTTTATCTTTATTCAGTTATGTAACATGAAGAGAATTTACCTTCAAAATCACGATAGAATTTTATAAGAGTTTTTCTGATTAATGTTTACCACAATAAAAATATTAATATGTAGTAAAATTAATTGAGCATATTTTATATCTCATTGTAGTAGATATTAATATTTTTATTGCGATATAAATATTTAATCAGAAAACTTTTATAAAATCCTTTCAATACCATTGTTTCACGATTATCATGCATGATTTTCAATTATTTTTGATTAATTTTTTTTTCTATTATCATTAAAAGTTATTTTTTCTTGTCGTATTTGTATAAATTGTAAAAAATGTTTATTAATATGTAATTGAATAGATAGAGAAAAAATTACATTTAAATCATTTTATTACTTAATTATATTTAATATGCGAAAGACAAATAATTTTTTAACAAAATAAAAATATATCTGAAATATTTATAGAATATCTAGAAAAAATTTTATTTAAATGTAATTAAGTTTTGGTGAATCATCAGCAGATATTATTTCCAATGACAGGAAATTAAATTAAATATAAAATTTACCCTAAAATTGTGGTAATCGTGAGTCAATATCGTACTGGAAAAATTTTATAAGAGTTTCTCTGCTTAATATTTATCGCAATAAAAAATATATTAATATATACTTACACAGTAAAATTAATCGAACATGTTTTATATCTTATTGTGGTAGATTAATATATTTTTTATTATAGTAAATATTAATCAGAGAAAAACTGAAAAATTCTATTATAAATATAACAATTATAAAATTCTCCCAATACCATATTGTCCCACGATTAGCATGGTTTTCAAAGTAAATTCTAAAAGCAGATTCTCTCTGTGAAGATGAAAAAATAATGATTATAATGATTAAAAATGAAATTGTATAAAAATGACAAGATCGAAAATGATAGAAACGATAATATATAGGAATAATAAATAATAGTTCGGTTCGGGGAATCATCACATCTCATTTTCGCTAAACCGTGAACAATTGAGAAGTCTATCGGCGTCTACCCGACCGGGCGGCGTCGCCACCGCCTGCAGGGTGAAAAATACTTGCGCGGCCAAGCATGCCGCGATACTCCCCGATCGCTCGGAGAAGGCATCGATCTCGCCATTGATCGATCGGTCGGCCGGGGCCTCGGATAAGATACTGTCGTCGTTCTGGTCCTGTCCTACTCATCGGCGTCCGGCGGACCACACGCCGTCTTGTCGCCTTTCGCCTCATTCCTTTCGCAATAGATCCACTCGATCCGTGTATAAGTATGTGTTCTACCTATCTCTATTTTACTCCTTTCGACCAACAACACGCATTCGTTTCTCTCTTCTCTCCTTTTTTTTTTTTTTTTTCAAGAGAATAAGAAAATGGCGCGAAAATGATTGAATCGAGTTGCTCCGTCCACTCAAGCAAGAGATAAACAGATACATTTGTGTGAGGTCAAAGCACGGGCGCCTCCGCAGGAATAATCGATTCCCAGAATTGAAAAGATCGCGTTCGCGTCGGGTTAAAGATGAAAATTTCGGTCGCCACGAGCGAGCATCGCTCTCCTTCGAGGAACGAGGACAGGAGACAAACTTGTGACTTCTCTCGAGGGAACGGAAAGGGAAAAGGGAGGAGGGATAACCCCTCTGCCAGCAGCGAGAGGGCCACCCACGTCGAGGGCGCAAAGGCGATATTTAGCGGAAGGCAAATCTCTCCTGGACCACCCACGTCGGCTCCTCGTCGCCGGAGCCTGGGCTACCTTATTTCAGGGTGCGCGCTGGCGGGTGTCGTTGTTGTGTTGTGTGTGCGGGTCCCACAGCACGAAACCGAGAACGCGCGCGTGTGGGCCTCTCTCTCTCTGTCTCTCTCTCTCTGTATATATAATATATAATATAACGATCCTATCTCTCTTTCTCGATTCGCAGAACGATTTCCGCGATCAGCTCGCTACGATTTTCTCGTTTCCCGCTCGCCGACTCGCTGCTCTCGCAGGGTCCCGCCATTTAGAGTTAACGATACTTAGACTTAATTTCCCGCGTCACGCTCGGCAAACTCTCGACACTTATATACGCTTCCTCTCCCTGTCAAACGGTAAAGTAGGTTTAACGAAATAATTGCCAATAGTGGAGAACGCTTGCTCGCTTTCACCGGTTTTTCATCGAGTCTGATTCAGCCGCCAATTATATATAATTCGAAACTATCTATACTCCACGGAGAGAATTTTCTCTTAGAATTTACCCTGAAAATCGTGATAATCGTGGGGAAGAATTTTATAAGACTTTTTCTGATTAATATTTATCACAACAAAAAATTGTAATACATTTTTTTATGTACAAAATTAATCGAACATATTTTTTATCTTATTGTGGTAATTAATCAGGGAAATTCTTATAAAATTCTTCCATGTTTATGATTTTCAAATTCTATAAGAGAAAAAAAGTCTCTCCGCGTATCTGTTGTTGAAACAATTTAAATTGCTAAAATTTACTTATATCTATTGAAAGATATATTTATGCCTTTGTAGAAATAGATTTTTAGAAGAATAATCGTAAATAATTAAAACTGTTTTCTTATTGAATTTTAAATTATTTTATAATGTAAGAGCTGATACTTGTTATAATTCATTGCGATTAAAAAATTGATTCATAATTTGAAATATGAATAATTTACAATTTTTAAAAAGGAGCAAGGATAAGTCACACGAGGACATGTGGCACATGAAAAACATTTTATTCGCGACATTTTGCAAGGATCGCCATTACAGATTTATGACGTAATACATTTCTTTGCGTCGTGACTCGATTTTGGCTGGC